TTGCCAACTAGACTGTGGTGCAGGTTCAGGCTGTTGTATAACAGGAGCTTGCTCTTCTGGTTCAGGGTCTTTAGGTATAATACCAACGAACTGACCTACTCTTTTACCAATATTTTTGACTCCGTTCCAAATTCCTCTTCCTACGGTTTTTATTCCATTCCATATACCTCTTCCAACATTTCGAAAGAAGTTTCCTATCTTACTGAAGAAACCCATTTTACTATATGTAAAAATCTAATGTCCGCCTAGTCTTTTGCGTTTCCTGTTGAGTTCCATAGCATTCTTTAACTGGAGCTCATACATTCTGTTTCTCCTCTGGTAGAAAACATATTCTGGGTCAACTCCTGTGTTCGCGTCATCTGCATAAAGTTGTTTATATCCCACTTCAGGGTTTGTATAAAACTCTTTCCATCTCATATTTGCATACCATGGTGGCAAACCTAACGCAGCAGCGTCATTTGACATGGCAGTTTGCATTTGTACATCTGTTGGCACTTGACCATAGTTTGCCATTGCAGTTTGTATTCTAACTTCATTTGGAATATTCTCTGGGTTTGGTTGTCCAGGTTGCTGTGCATTCGCTAAGTTCTGTGCGTCCATTTAATATTAGATAAAAATATCTCTTACGAGTACATATACTGAACATTTGCAGGCATTGGTTCATCTTCATATTCTCTGTACTTTTCTGCCACGTCAAATAAATAAATGACACAATGGAAAAAACCTAAAACAAGTAGTCCTATTTCAAACCACATTTACTTACTAATAAAATTTCTTTGTTATGACACTTTCTCCAGTTTATAGGACCTCTCTCATATTCTATCTTGTCATATATAAACTCATAGTCATGTATGTCCTCTAACCATCTCATAACGGTTTCCAAACCACTTTTATCGGATGTAAAGTAAAAGCATGGATGGTTATGTATAACGTCTAAAGTTTCTAAAGAGTCTCTCAAAGTCCAGTCTACTTGGTATTGAAAATCCCATGTGTTATAGAACGGCGGGTCCACTATAAAGAAAACATTTTCCTTGTCTTTATATTTTTCATACAAATCTGTCCAATGACATCTCACAAACTCTATACCCTCAATATATTTTTCTATGTTCTGTTTGAAAACATTTGTATAGTTAAGATATAAAACTTTTGACATAAGTGTTTCAATGTCATGAACTCTTATAGAACCACTATATAATAGTCTAGCAGATATACTATCCCAGTCTATATATTCTGCTTTTTTCAAAACCTCTCTCACAATATTTTTCTTATCTAATGGTATACGTTCCATCTTACCTATAGGTATCTTTTCTTTTAACTCTTTCAATATGTTGTTTGTGTCTGGAATATGTTTGAGACGGTCCATATAGTTGTCGAAGTCATTGCATATAATCTTTGAGTCTGGGAATATTATATGGCACAAATGGGATATATAGAAACTTCCACCGAACAAATCTACAAATGTTAGACCATTCGGTAGTTTCTTAAGTTCTCTCAATATAATATCTTTACATCTACTCTTATTTCCAAAGAACGGTAACGGTGGTTTTGTAAAATTCATTTATATATAATAATAAAAATGTTTTTTCCTGAAAAGTGACAGAAAAATGACAAAACATTTACGAAGAAATCATGAAAATTCAAGAGGTGAGAAAAGAGGTGAGAAAACAGGTGAGATCTCACCTCTTCACCTAAATTATATTTTTGGTCATTTACACTCATTACGAAGAAGTCTTGACAAAACATTTACGTTCATGTTTGACAAAACATTTACGAAGAAGTCTTGACAAAACATTTACGAAGAAGTCTTGACAAAACATGTACGTTCATGTTTGACAAAACATGAAAACATATATAATTTGTGAAAAGCGACACATTATATATAATGTTTTCGACCCAGAAGACTAACAATTTTCCGAATAAAAAACTTCATTTATTACAAAACATCATCAGGGCTAGAAGGCACGAAGTGCCTGGAAGCCCCACTACCTTTTTTTTTTTTTTTTTTTTATATATGTATATATTTATATATGTATATATTTATATATGTATATATTTATATATGTATATATTTATATATGTATATATTTATATATGTATATATTTATATATGTATATATTTATATATGTATATATTTATATATGTATATATTTATATATGTATATATTTATATATGTATATATTTATATATGTATATATTTATATATGTATATATTTATTAGTAGCTGCTTCATGCTGCATTGAGTATTGTTGAATAATTTGAAGTAGTGGTTTTTGAAATCAGCACCCCTATGAGAGCGCTGGCGACCGAAACACCACTAGTAAGATTGTGTATTAGAAACTGCTTCATGCTGTGTTGAGTAAGCTTCGATGTCTTTGTAGGATAGCTTTCTGAGAGCGAAACAAGATAGTGTTGAAAAAAAATTTTGAAAATCTGAGAGACTGTGCAAGAGCCAACGACCAAAACGCTACCAGTAAGATACAGCAGTAGTAGCTGCTTCATGCTGCATTGAGTATTGTTGAATAATTTGAAGTAGTGGTTTTTGAAATCAGCACCCCTATGAGAGCGCTGGCGACCGAAACACCACTAGTAAGATTGTGTATTAGAAACTGCTTCATGCTGTGTTGAGTAAGCTTCGATATCTTTATCAGACCACCTTTAAATTAACCACTCACATTCTCACTGTGGTCCATCTAAAATTTGTAAGCTTTATGACATAAAATTATATTATATGCAGGATCCCACCTATTACTTAATCTTTTTGGAATAAATGTTTTATAATATTTATCGATTGATTGTAATTTTTTGTATAAAAAAGTTTTTTATTTATATTAAAAATATATTTTGTTAATGATATTGTAATAAACAGAAATTCATCAAAAGTGACAGCTCTCAATTTTTTGACATTTGTAAATTCTAAATTGAATGAGAAAAATGAAATAATACTAAGCATAATACAATATTCTAGATTTAATTATAATTAGGAAAAAGTTAGTTTTGAGAGTACTTTTCATAGGCATATAGAATGAAATCTTCTGAAAAATAATATCACATAAACTCATATTATCTTCTAATATATAACTATTTTATATAAAAATCAAATTCAATGATCTTAAAAGCGAAGGATAAACCTCAAAATTTACGAATATAATGAGTGGGAATAGGCGTAAAGCAAAAATTGATATTTCATATGGTTTTATGATAGATAAGCATTATATTCCCACTCATTATATTCGTAAATTTTGAGGTTTATCTTTCGCTTTTAAGATCATTGAATTTGATTTTTATATAAAATAGTTATATATTAGAAAATAATATGAGTTTATGTGATATTATTTTTCAGAAGATTTTGTGTTCTTCTTCAAAATTTTATTTTTTTTATTAAAAAGAATCTTTACAAAATATACATTTACTTTAATTAATATTTAAAAACGTGCTCTATCAAAAGTTCCAAAAATTCAATATTTTAGCTTTTCTGAAGTGTCACTTTTGATGAATTTCTGTTTACAACAATATTATCTTATAATTTGTAAATAAATCTAGTAATAAAATAACTTTAATAGTTGGTGTCACTTTTTCGAAAATTCTGGTTTTTTCCGGAAAGTCCCGGAAGAATATATGTGCCTATATGAAATTATACAAAAATGAATCAAACGCATTTTAAAAGATTGTTCTTGTATTATAAATGCTATTCGCAGATTTATTAGTTGAAGAAAATTACCAAATTTTTGCCGATTTACAAAAAATGATTTACAAAGCATATTTTTATAAGGCTTTAAAAATCTTTAAAATGTGACCGGTGACGGAAATCCATGGTAACCAACCGCGGTTCCCGTTTGGAATGACATAAAGTATATGAATAATATATAAAAAATTAATGAATAATATAAGCAGATTTTTAGTTTACAAAACAAATATGAGCAATGCAATTTCAAACTTTTGCTGGCAATTTCGATATTGCTCAAGTTTGTAGTATTTGTGATACCTATAGCATCGGCTTAATCAAAATTCGATTTTTCTTATGAGTTATTGAGAAAATTTGATTGCAATGAGAAGGATTTCGACGTTTTTGATAAACTAAGAGCTGAGCTTTAGGGGTTCAGTTCATTTATGGCTGTAGTTTGATGCGTAGATCTCTTTTTTATTGTAAATTCTTTCAGCATGGAGATCGAGAATGAATCTTTTGAGAACTTTATGAGTTTTTACACCCGTAAAGAGGTCCTTCGAGGAAAGATAGTCCAGACTACATGAAGATGTGGGTTAACCAAAAAAATCCGATGGTTTCCCCATATTCATGTAGATCTTCGAAAAAATGAGCACCAAAAAAGCCAAAAAAATAGGCTTTTTATTGGATTTGTACACTAGATCAATAATCTATTTAGGATCTGACACTCTTTTTAGCCAGAGATATGAGGTCCTTTCTAGGAAAACGATCTATTCATCCATAAAAAAAATGAATTATCGTTTTCCCCAGAAATTACATGGGGAGTGGTAAAAGTAAGGAAAATCTGGGTATTATTATGCTCATTTTCTTATTTTGATTTTTTCTCATTATGATATAAATAATTTATTAATGCATTTATCCAATAATTATGCTATGATATTTTTATGCCTTATTTCATTTCTCTTATATTTGATAATCTGGTAAAATATAGTTCAGACTATAATCATTTTAGATTATTGATATATTTATATAGGTTAGAATAAAATTAGTTTCATTTTCTACTTTGATTTTGAATTAATAATTTATAATATCAAATATTATGGCGTAACCTCTCCTTTAAAATATAGATATATATAGGCCTATAGAGTTTATTGGCACTCTAAAAACTCTAGAATTTTGAGTTTACTATACCCTTAACATGACAAAATTTCGATCAAATCAAAAAATGTTATATTTCATTAATGTAATGTTTTTAAAGTATGGAATCCAAACATTCAAAATTTGAGAACTTTGACCGAGGTGAACAGACGATTGCTGCAAACACTTCACTTTTCAGAATGACAACCCTCAACAAAAATTGGGAACAGACACAGATCAAGGTTTTCTCAAGATGGTGCAACAAGTACTGCCAGCAAGCTGGAATGAAAGTTGAAGACTGCACACAAGATTTCGAAGATGGTGTAAAGCTTATTACACTCCTTGAGATCGTTGGCAAGGAGCCAATGCCAGGAAAATGGCACAAGACCCCAAAGATGAGGATCCAGAAGCTCGAAAACTGCGACCTCGCCATCAAGTACATTTCTGAAGTTAAGAAGGTCAGACTTGTCGGTATCGGCTCAAACAACATTGTCGACCACGACACAAAGCTCACACTCGGCTTAATTTGGTCCGTTATCAACAAGTTCGTAATCGAAGAAATCACAGTTGAAGAAGCTACAGCTCGTGATGCCCTTCTTCTTTGGTGCAAGAAGAACACACAAGGCTACGAAGGTGTTGATGTCACAAACTTCACATCCTCCTGGACATCCGGCCTTGCTTTCTGCGCCCTCATCAACCACTTCCGCCCAGAGCTTCTTGACTACAACGCTCTTGACAAGGCTAACCACCCAGAGAACTGCCGCCTTGCCTTCGAGGCTTGCAAGCAGCTCGGCATCACAGTTTATCTCGATGTTGAAGATATCGCTGATACACAGCCAGATGAGAAGTCCGTTGTTACACAGGTCTCCGAGTTCTTCCACTTCTTCGCTTCTGACACAAAGGCTGACCAGATGGCCGAGAAGCTCAAGAACACAGTTGGCATCCAGCGCGAGATCAAGGACATGACAGAGGCCTACATCCAGGCTTGCCAGGCCGCCATCGCTGAGATGGATGCCAAGTCCGCTGAAATTGCCGATGATTCCTTCGACAAGGACACAAAGGGCATCAAGCAGAAGCTCGTTAACACAATCGCCTACGGTAAGGATGGCCGTCCAAAGATCTTCGAGCTCAAGGCTAACGCTGTTGCTGCCTACTCCGCTCTCCAGTTGAAGTGCAAGGCTACAAAGCGTCCAATGCCAGAGATCCCAGAGGAATACATAGAACAGGCCCTCAACCAGCGCTTCGAGCAACTCGACCAGCAGGTTTCCGACCGCCGCTCAGAGCTCCTTGGCCTCCTTAACGACAAGGTTAAGTCCTATGTCAGCCAGGCTAAGGAAGTCCAGGGCGCTCTTGAAGCTCTCGATAAGGAGTTAGACTCAATCGAAGGCGAACTCGAGCAGAAGAAGGAAGCCCTCAACGCTAAGGTTGACAAAATCCGCAGCAAGCACGGCGATGTCGAAGCTCTTGCTCCTATCTACAACGATATCGAAGAGGCTGAAATGCACCTTGAGATCGATGAGACACCATCATTCATCGAGTCAATCTACAACGCCACAATTGCCCACGCTACAACACTCATCCGTGAAATCGAAGCTGCTATCGCTGCTGCTAAGGGTCTTGAGATCTCCGAGGAACAACTCGCTTCATTCCACGAGACATTCAACCACTTCGATAAGGACCACTCCAAGTCCCTCCAGTACTACGAACTCCGCGCTTGCCTTACAGCACTCGGCGAAGACTTCACAGATGACCAGGCTAAGGAAACATGCAAGAAGTACTCCGCTTCTGGCGAAGAGAAGTTGAACTTCGATGAATACGTTAAGTTCATGCTCGACCACTTCAACAAGGCTGAGACAAACGAGACAACAATGGAGGCCTTCAAGACAATCGCTAACGGCAACCCAGTCCTTAACGATGCTCAGCTCGACCGCTACTTCTCTGCTGAAGATGCTGCATTCCTCCGCCAGGAACTCCCACAGGTCGAAGGTGGCTATGACTTCCAGTCATGGGTTAACAAGATCTATGCATAAAAAACTCTTCTTGATTGGTACGTTTTTGTAAATGAAAACATATTTTTTTCCCTAATTGAAAATAAGAGGACAAACGATATGAAAAAAAATTGAGGGATCTGGCAGCTATTTTACCAAAGAAGTGAAGTGTAACTAGCGAAAAGTGACAACGCGCCGAATATATGGTAAATCTAGGAGTGCTAATTTGGATGATCAAAATTAAAAAAAAATATCATTCTAAATTAAAGTTTGGTCTTTCTGGAAAAAAAAATTAATATTGGGAAAAAAATTCTGGAAAAAAATTGTGAGAAAAAAATTTGAGGAAAAAATTTAATGTTGGTTATTTTATCCCAAAAAAAATATTGTTATGTCAATGGATCAAGACATTGCACAGGAATTAACAGGAGCTGATTTAATTAGAACCTATGCTGATTATATTGATACAATGAGAAGTATATATCAACTCACAGACGACAAAGTAGAAAGCACTTTTATCAAAGTTAAAGAAATCTTGATAAATAAATATCATTTAAAAACATTTGACATTCTAATAATAGTGGAAAACTGTCTTTTTTTAAGGGATCGTTACATGAAAGCATATTTAAAACTCTATGACTTGATTAACAGTCTTAAAAATAATAAAATAAATTATTACCATGTAAATCAAATCAAAGATGTTATCTCTGCATTCGAAAATAACAAGCAAATACCAAGCAATTCTCTTGGAGACTTCTATGAATTTTTGAAACCAAAATCATTATTTAATTCAATCATGAATGATGATCTCGAAACAATGATATACATAGTCAATCAGCCAGGTTTTGACATCAATATCAAAATGGAAAAACGCTTATTTCATACTAAGAAGAAATTCAATCTTTTGGAAGTTTGCTCTTATTATGGTTCAGAAAAATGTTATTTATATTTAAGACAGAATCATAATTTTGAACCTTCTGATTATTCGATTGCATTATCATTCTTAGGTGGAAATCCACGGATTATACAAGAATCATTACCTTTAATAGATTCTTCAAATATTAGTGAATGTGTTGAATATGCAATTGTATCACACAACATCGATTTCTTCAACTATTTAAATAACAACTTTCCTCATCAAAATATTCGTTATATTGTAACAGATTATTATAATCTTGAAGCATTTTTGATAGCAATTGATTCAGGACAAATATCTTCTTTTGATAATAATCTACTCAGATTCAATATTGATGATTTACTTGTATATGTTTTTAAAAAATTCAAGCGAAGTGCAGTCAAAAAATTTGATATTTTACATGCAATTTATCTATATAAAATTCCAAAAACTATTATATGCGCCATCGAAAGTGGAGCCAATATCACAATAACGGATTCTTTTAATGGAGGAGCTCTTCATTTGGCTGCAAAATATAAATTGAAAGAAGTAGCCGAGCATTTGATTTCACATGGTTTAGACATCTACGCAAAAAATGAACGTGGAGAAACTCCACTTCATTATGCAGCAGGAAAAAGTCTAGATATGGTAGAATTCCTTATTTCACATGGTGCAAAGGAAAGAAGATGATGAAAATGGTGAAGATGATGAATATGGTGAAGATGACGAAGTTTAAAGAACGAGAAGAAGACAATTACACTTTAAATGATAGATATGAGCGTCACCTACCGATCCCTGTATACTTTATACAATAGAAAATTGGGATATCCTGCTCTGTTGGCAAAAAATTGAGAGGATTTCAGAAAGTTATAGCTTATTCGATTATTTTTTATAAAAAAAATTTTTTTTAATGCAAAATAATGAATTTATAACTTGGATAAGAGCATAGCCTCTAATTTCTCAGTGTCAGCTCCCAAGTTACGAATGCCTTAAGCGATTTCTCAACAGCCATTGCATCCATGTTATGTTCCCAAAGAAATTCAGCCTCTGTCATTGGTTCTGGATGTGGAAGGATCCCACCCTTGTAGTATATTACTATGAATACAGTATTAAAACATTTACTAATAATAAAAAACAAAAAAATAAATTAAATTTCAAATATAAGGATTTTGGAGAAGAAGTTCTTCAACTTCGCTGAGTTTCATCTTTGTTTCATCGATCTGTTTTCTTATCTTATTCCTTGCATTGATATGTTCTTGTTTAAACTCAAGAAAAACTTTATTTACTTCGTTGAAGTCAACTTTCTTAGAAGATTCATGTATTTCTATCTTCTGATCAACTTTACCTGATAGTTGGTCATTGTAATCGTTCATTGCCTTGTCAATTAAAATAATTCTGTCGTAAACATCTTGGATTTCTTTAGAAAGTAGTCCAATTCTTTCCTGAACACCATTTAATGATGTATCACATTTATTTATGTATATCTTGAGATCATTTGAAACATTTGCAAGATTATGCGAAGTATTCGCAACCCATTGAGAAAATTCGCTGTTTGTAACAATCTGTGCAACATCCTTGGTCTTCTTTTTCTCAATAACGTCCGAAACAGAGGATTTTGACTTATTTTTCAAATCTGCTTGAAGATTTGTACAGGATTCTTCTAAATCAACTATTTCTTGATGATTTGATTCTATCTTGTTATAAAGATCATCATCAATTTGTACCGTAAGAGATTTAAGCTTCTGATTTCGTTCATTTATTATTTTCCAATTTTCTAAGGCTTTGTCAATCCTATTTTGCGTATTATTCAAGTATGAAACTAATGGAGTATTATCTATCTGTTCTTGATAAACAGAAGAGTAGGTTTCGCGTTCAGAAGGTAAAGGTTGCAAAGAAGAGTGAAATTCGAATTTGTCAGTTGATTCAACACTCTTGTTTTTGTTCTTGTATGATTCAATCCTGATTTTTGCATCTTCGGCGATTTTTGTTCGAATTTCATTTGTTTTTTGTGTAACTGTTTCTCTGACGTATTTATATGCTTTATCGAATCTTGTGTCATTAGATCTTTTCTCTTGTGTATCAACAAACTTATTAACTCGTTGCTGTAATGTGTTAATTCGTGTATTTAAAGCATGATATCGTTGTTGGTTGGAATTGAATCGTTCATTTTCTACTAATGAAGCAACTGACTTCTGTTTTCCTTTTATAATGCTTATTTTTTGCGATAATTGACTTGGAATATCAGTTACAACTAATTCGAAGTTATTTCTTAGTTTATCGATTGTTTTCTGCATCACAACGAGATCATTTTTCATTGTGCTAACTTGAAATGTTTCTACAGGATGTGATTGTTGAGAATTTGGAATTTCGTTCATTTTATAACGTATTTTTGTAAACTATTGAAATAATTTTCTAAATTTCAACAAAAATGAATCTCCTTGATATCAAATACAATAATATTTAAGAATTTTTTTGAATGGAACCTTAATCTTTATCAAATGTCTGTTTTCTCAGGATTAAAAACTGTTGAGAACTTAAAATTATGTCATTTGCCTACTCTATCTTGAAACAAGCCTGGTTCGCTTGATACAACACAAATATCACGAAATTATTTTAATCCAAATTCAAAATTTCATCAAATTCAAAAAGAACATCAACATTATGAAGGTAAATGATGATTTAAATGCATAGATTAGAAGGAAAAATGATAGATTTTGGAATTTGACAAATTTTGGTTTATTAAAAAAATGCCATATTACGGCCATAGAGTATATTATGAGGCTTTTAACGGTATGACATCTGTCTGCGGACACGGGCACCCTGACCACCGAACTTCTTTGGTTCCATACGACGTGGATCGGCAACAAGGAGTGTACGGTCGTAGCCGAGGAGTGTGTTCTTGATTTCTGTCTTTGTTGCTTCATCAACATACTTCTGATAGTAAGCAACGATGGCCTTAGCGACAGCCTGGCGGATAGCGTAGACTTGAGCGACATGGCCACCACCGTGGACGCGAACGCGGATGTCGAGGTTGCCCCATGACTCTTCACCGATGAGCTGGAGTGGTTCGAGGATCTTGGCACGAAGTGTTTCAGATGAAACCATATTGATTGGTGTGCCATTAAGCTTGATAAGGCCAGAGCCCTCGCAGCAGTATGCGACGGCGGTGGCTGTCTTCTTACGACCAAAAACCTGGACGCTCTTCATCACAAAAGGGTAAGCCAAACCGTTTTTCCCTATCAAATAAAAATTTTCACCAGCGAAAAAATGTAAATTGTAAAGTGTCAAAAAATAATAGTAAGAAAATAACATTGTTTTTAAAAGTTCTATACCATGTAAGTGATATCTGTTTTGAAAGAAAAACAATACGAAAAAGATATTCAAAATTCAAATGCAAAAAATGATCCAGCATACAAAGAGAGTCATTGCATAAAATCATAATGTTTTGTTGCTCTATTGTGATACGTTGACAAAGTCAATACTACAGATTTAAACATTCGATATGTATTGATCCTAATTCTGTTCAAAATTCTCAATCATCAACTTCAAATCGGCGGGTACTAGTTATATACATGCAATTCTGGACTGATTTTCTGAAATTACACTCATAATATGATATCGAATGCATATTAGTGACAACTCAAAGGATTGAGAAAATTTTAGTGATTAACTAGTCAAAGCTGGACTAAGGGATCACATTTGCAATATATACACTTGACAAGACTAAAGATTCTGAAAATGTAATTCAAATCATTATGCAATGGTAAAAGCTTTTATCAAAATAGGTTAGATCTCAAATTTATTTATGTCTATGACATCAAAATAATACAACAAACGAACAACATCATTTCCAATAAAATTACTTTGAAATTGCAAGAAGGATAAAATAAATCATTTTTATTTTATATGGTAATTTTATTTCTAACAGTTCGATAGCTTAATATATGGATTCAACTCAGTTTGCATAAAGATGCAAAGAAGGTAATCATTGGACAGTGCTATTCAAGAACATGTTAACTTTTGTTCTTGAGGCGTTCCGATTATCCATGAATCTACGGCCAATATGCAATAAAATAAAAAAGATACAATTAGTTATGCAAATTGGAATGTAAATATGCGTTTATTTTTGTTAATTGAAGTATTGATATCTCACTTGGTCGCCCATTCGATGCAAATAAAATTAAAAAATCTTCATTTACCACTCATATTCAAAATGAATATGAGAAAATTTGCCTAAACATGGCTTATTTTTTAATTATACTTTTCATTTAACTATGACAACGATAATATTTTTTAATCGGAAATTAGCCGATGGAACTCAAAATTTGACAGCCAATTCGGCCAGAAATTTTTTTTATCATTCAATGTGGGATTTCACAGCAATCACTGCCCTCATCCGCGAACTCGTCAACGATGATGAAGATTTTCCAATTGCCTCAATCATCGCTATCTGCATCGAGAGCCTCAAGTCAATTGAAAAGCCACTTCATCCAACAACAATCTTATCACCAGCCCTTGAGTCTCTTTCCACAAACGTCAAGGATATGATCGAAGAGACAGGTGATCTCGTTGTTGCAGGCACACTCAACCAAGATCAAGCTCTTGAACGCCTTCGTGAGTTATATGCTCTCCTTAACTACATTATCACCCCAATTCAAGCCTTCACAGCTTACCCAGAGCGTGTTCCACGCAATGAGAACAACAGCCGTGTTCTCGAACAAGCATACGAACACCTTAACTTCGCCGAAGCCATGGGCAAGTCCGCCAAGAAGGCCATGGAGAAGAACCTTGCTCGTGTCAAGAAGAACGCCGAGAAGCGTGCAGCCCAGAAGGCCAAGGAAGCTGAAAATGCCAACGCCGAAGCTGAGAAGCTCAAGGCTGCCCTCGAAAAGGCCGCCAGCATCAAGCTCGAGGAAGACAAGTCCCTTCCAGCCGCCGTCACAAGAAAGATCAAATACGTTGTTGCCTCCGAAGAGCGCCAGCGCGTTTTCGGTTGGGTCCACAAGCTCAGCCGCCATGGTGGCATCATGTTCCTTACCCTTCGTGATGGCACAGGCTTCCTTCAAGTCATTCTTGAAGGCATCCTCACACAGACAACATCCGCCCTCACAATCAACCGTGAAGCCACAGTCATGGTTGTCGGCAAGGTCCGTGAGGACAAGCGTGCTGTCGGTGGCAAGGAACTTGCTGCTGATTATTGGGAAATGATCGGCAACGCTCCATCCGACTTCGATACCCTTACAAGACCAGATCTTACACCAGATCTTCTTCTCGACAACCGCCATCTTGTTCTCAGATCCGAGTTTGCCTCCACAACCATGAAAGTCCGTGATCATCTTACACGTATCATCCGTGAGAACTTCTACAAGCACGACTGCACAGAAGTTGTCTGCCCATGCCTTGTCCAGACCCAATGCGAAGGTGGCGCCACACTTTTCGGCCTTGATTTCTACGGCCAGAAGGCATATCTTACACAGAGCTCTCAGCTCTACCTCGAGACATGCTGTGCCTCCATGGGTGATGTCTTCTGCATTGAGCCATCCTTCCGTGCAGAGAAGTCCAAGACACCACGTCACCTTTGCGAGTTCACACACATCGAAGCCGAGTATCCATTCATTGACTTCGACGAACTCATGTCCCGCATTGAAGACATGGTCATTGCTGTTGTCAACGGCCTTCTCGAGTCAGAGTTCAAGGACTTCATCCTCAAGCACAACCCAGATCTCAAGCCACTCAAGAAACCATTCAAGAGAATCACACACAAGGAAGCTCTCGAGTTCTGCAGAACACACGACATTCCAAAGGACCCAGAACACCTCGAAGACAAGTGGAAGGATGATGATGATATCCCAGAACTCGCTGAACGTACACTCGTCGACACAATCGGTGAACTATGCTTCATGACAAAGTTCCCAGCTGCAATCAAGGCTTTCTACATGAAGAGATGCCCAGAAGACAACAGCCTCACAGAGTCTTGCGACCTCCTCGTCCCAGGTGTAGGTGAAATCGTCGGTGGTTCAATGCGTCTCGAGTGCTACGATGAACTCATGAACGCTTACCTCGTTAACGGTCTCGACCCAGCTCCTTACTACTGGTACGTCGACCAGCGCCGCTACGGTCACTTCCCACACGGTGGTTTCGGCCTCGGAACAGAAAGACTCGTCCGCTGGATTCTCAAGATCGGCCACATCCGTGAGACTTGCCTTTACCCACGTATCATGAACCGTGCTACACCATAAAACTACAAATCATTTGCTTTTTCTCATTTCCTAAAAGTTTTATTATTAAAAAAAATCCTTTTGATATAAAAACTGCAGTTTGAGTACTTTCTGAGGATCTGTTCATCGGAAAGTATATATTTGTAAAATATTTTTATGCTTTAAAAATTTTTGACATTGTCAAAAAGTATACATCGGGATTCTCAATTTTCCTCTCAAACGGCAGTTTTTACTTATCCTTTCACATAGTTGATAATATTCTACCAGAATGACTTGTCAATCTATTGCTACTGTTGTAATCTTTCGAACAACCAAAGGTATTGATTCAAGATATGATGTATTGAACATCGAAGAATTGAATTTTTGCAATGATTATTACTAATAATGTGGATTAATTCCATTTCGATGATTAGATAAAGATGAAACAATGACTTCTCACCCCCTCCCCTACCCCCCTTATGTTCATTCAAAGAATTTTAATTTTTGACAAATTAATTTTTTTTATGTCTGATCAAAACAGTCATCCAAAGACATACGAAGAATTGCGAATCAACTACGAATCCTACATCGAAACATCTAATGCTTTGTATCGTCTGAAAACAGAAAATGAAGAAGAAATAAACTCGATTTACAAAAAGATCAAGATAGAGTTGATTGATTCAATTATTAATTTTCCGCAAAATTTAATTGTAGACATTTTAAATATTATTCCGTACAATAATCGCTATTTAAAGATCAATATAAAAGAATGCAAATATTATAGCAATTTTGAATCACTTTTGGTTTATTTCGATCAAACAAATGATGTTGACCAATGTTTTCTTTATTCATTTAAGTTCAATATCCAATCCATTTGGGAATATTTCCTTTCACAAGGTGCAAATATCAATGCAAAAGATGATTGTAATTTAACAATTTTTGACTTTGCAGCACTTAATAATCCGAGCGAAGAAGCAATCAAATTTCTTATCTCGCACGGGGCCAATATCAACAAAAAAGTTCGAAATGGAGAAACACCTCTTCATAAAGCAGCCAGATATAATAGAAAAGAAACGATAAAAATACTTCCATTTTTTAACTACTTTACATGCATTTATTTAATCTTTTTTTTGCACTTGAATGAAAACCTTTTTATTATTATTATCATAAAATTTTATTTTGCATAAAAACAAATAAAAATTAAACTTCTTCATCTATTGAGTCATCATCTACGTTATCAAATATAGATACAGAGTCATTCCTCAATCTTGAGCTTAAAATATCTTGTTCACTGTCTTCTTCCTTCTTCAGAGGCGAAGAAAACAGAGAGAAAATCAAATTATAACTGTATTGAACAAATAAAGACAAAATCAAAGAAAAGAAAACAAACAAAAGAATAATAGGAGAAGAGAAAGCAGCGAATAAAGCGTTGAATTCCCTTCCAACAGATTCTTTGCTTGTTTTTATCATGAAAAACGTAACAAACAAAACAAAAGAAGATAAAATTAAAAACAAATGAATTCCAGACCAAATATGAGTACTTGCAATTACAGATCCTATACAGAAAGACATCAAACAAATAGATAATGTGTATGAATACACGTTCAAGCTGATAGTAGTTGAAAATTCTTGACTTTTTGATAAAATTAAATTTGATAATTTCAAGAAACAAAAAGAAGAAATACAACACGAAAGAATCTTAATAATCAGGTCCTTCTTATATACTTCAACATTATTAGATGCCTTGTAATATTCAGGTAGTTCTAAAAACTCTTCATTTTTCTTTTTTTCATTAAAAAGTGACAGCGAAAAAATTGGAATCAAAGAAAAGAAACATAAAAATGAAGTTAAAAGTCCTTCAGAGAACAAAGGTGTTGCTGAACATGCGTTGTATATATTGTACCAATACTGGAGAAACGCTGTAAAACAGTTTCTCATCAAAACAAAATTTAATGAGAAATCAAATCTTTCTCGAATTTTCATTCCATCGACGAAGACTATTTTGTTCAAGTCTTCGAAGTTCATTGTAACAACATCACAGCTGACATCACATGGCTTGATTTCGTGGGCGGAAACCGATACAGAACAGTTGAAATTCAAAAGAAATCCGAAATCGTAAATTGAATGGCCAATTGAAAGAACATTTTTGGTCATTATTTCACGCATATATCGAATAAATAGAGAATTCTGGAATGAATCACTTCTTTGTAAAATTATCGTCTTGGTATTTTTCAAAAGTGACAAAACTCTATTTTTGTGACATGTTTTGTACAAAAATTTTACACAGGAACCTTGTCAACAGATTACTTCGTATTTCGGAGACTCAAACAAGAAAGAGAGTGATGTATCCACTTCTTCAAGAGTGTTGCCTTTGATAAGACCAACAATTGGATTGGTTTTGACAATGCCAAGTGAAGTTGCAGAAATTAATAAAGATGTTCCTTTCGTTTGAGAGGTAAGGACAATGTTATCGAACGCTTTCTTCGATCTGGCTAAAAATGGAAGCACTCCGTCGCGTGGTTGGTCTTCAAATGCGACTAAACTGATAGGAGATGAGTGCATCTCCAAATTTTCGACAATCGTATATACGAGATCGGTGTTTTCCGTTCCGAACTCCCCAATTTTCTCCTCAAATCGCTTGTACTGCTTCTGCGTAATAATTCTATACGAGCACATTTCAACGTGGAGTCCCTCCTGGTAGAAATTCTCATATACGTTGTTGAGACTATCAGAATTATCAATGATAGAAGTCATCAATTTGTAGTTTGCTCGTGAAAATAAAATTATTGTTCCATCTTGATCTTCAACAATAATCGATGTACGGGGGTGCTTCACAGAGCTATGAATCATACGTTTCGTAGTAAAACAATACGTTTTTCCGCCTATTAATATATAAGAATTTTCTGGATTTCGACTAATCAACATATAACCAGCATTAGCAGCTAGTTTGAGGAGCTGTTCATCATCAGGGTACCTCGAAACGTACCGAAACTTCTCTTTTGTCCCAATAAGTGTTGCAGAGTGACAAAGCGCGAGATGTAAGAAGAACATACGCGTTTCTTCGGATATATGTAATGATGGATCATAAAATTGTCTCATAATCGTTCTGTTTTCGAGAAGATTATTTTGAATTGCGAGAGAAAGCTCTCGGATTGCAATATCCCGGCCATACGTGTTACCATTCAAGTATATACGCTTTAAACATGGTTTGGGCTCAAGGAGCATTGATTTTGAGACAAATAAAGAAATAATATGAGATAAGTCAAATAAACACGTTGTATTAGGAATATAGGTCTTCTTATAGTGTTTGCGTATGAAATTAGAGTTAAATATCTCAACAATGTCAATAAATGGATAAATTTCAAGAAAAGAAATTGGAAGCAATAAAATTACGTAGTTAATGAAGTTCTGGAATAGATATGGGATGATACGTATTCCTGCTGCAAAAGGCCATTGATTAGACATATGAAAATAGCCAATTGACTTAATTGTCATAATTAATGCGAAAAAAACAATGAAAATCAACATCCAAAGGTTGATTTTGTTCAGTAGTTTCTCGAAATATGTGTAGTTTTGTGTAAAAAGAGGGTTATTAACAGTTACGCAATTTTTTCCTGAATAAACAACTCCACAAATGACTTCTTCGCTGTGGTGTATTGTACAGTATCTTTCTATGTATTACTTGTTTGTAATTTGGACAGTTTTGTCTTCATAAGTGAGATCTGCCGAAAAAACAAAATGAGATTGGAGAAAAGATTTGATATTTGCAGCTCCTGATACAAATTCGCGCTTTATGTTTGTAAGGTTTATTCTCATAGTAGGATTAGATCCATCAAACTTAATATCTAACAAAGTTGGATCATATCTTGGTGCAAGTTGAGAAGAACCGTCAATTAGATAGAAATCAATTGTGCATTGCATGCTATTAGATGCTTTTAGAACAATTAAATCTGCTGGCGCAACATCACCGTTTTTTAATCGAATTATATCTCCTGGATGTATATCATTCCACGTAGTAGGAGAGAACGTCGAACCTTTCAAAACATCTACAGTTAGCCTGTTGATACGTCTTATGAATTTTTTCTTTCTACGTAACATTGTATAAAATGATAATGCAGAACTAAAAATTGATAAGAAAATAGGAGGTAATGTAACAAACAAATTCAACGAGGTGCTATACCTGATCTGAATCAATACAATTAAAAGATAAAATACAAAAGAAATTCGAGAAGAACATCTTTTTACGTAAAATGGGATGAATTCTCCGAAACCATGGCTATTATCAAAAGGGTTATTTTCATCATATTGTTGGTTTGGACGATAAAATGATCTATGAGATGAAAATGCTAAATTTGTTTCATCCATTTTTCAAGCATTTTTGATGGGCGTGTGGCGCCTCTCAGATTCTTTTCAAAAAAAACGTATAAAAATTTCTCTTTTCACCTCACCTCGTAGGACCCCAGGAAACTGCTCTTCAATTTGCAATAATAAAAATGTCAAGGAAATCGCTAAACTTATTGTTGTGCATGGTGCAGATATCAACATTAAAAATGATTATTGGAAAACAGCTCTTCATTATGCAGCAGAAAAATGTAATGATAAAGAAACGTTTGAAGTTCTTATTTCACATGGTTTAAAAATTAATGAAAAAGACAAAGATGGAAAAACTGCTCTTCATTTAACAGCAGAGTTTGATCGTTTAGACACAGTAAAGCTTCTAATTTCTTATGGTGCAATATAAATTTGCAAAAGATGAACAAAAAATGAATTAAAAGGATTAACATATGCATTAGACACTGTATGACGATACTGTCGTGAACCCTTCGAAGCGAGAGGTCTGAGCTCCACGTTCGCGCAAAATTTTTGATCTAAAAACTGCTTTATCCACACGTCTAGGAAAAAACGTCACTTTTCATATACATAGGATTAACAGAATATCTAGTTATGCATGGTGCAAATATTAATGAAAAAGACCCAGATGGAAAACTGATTGGAAATGTTTTTTTTATCTGCATCCGTAGTATCTTTGATAAGTTAAAAATAAAATAAAAATTAATAAATAATGAAAAAATTATTTCTAAATAAAACAAAACATTTATTAACGTCTGCCTTTTGCAGGCGATGATGGTGGTGGAAGTGAATTCAGTATCTTTTCAACCTCTTTTGCAGACTCATCCTGGTAAAATTTGTTGCAAATCTCAACTAAGCCTTTACAAAGGACTGGAGAATGTTTCATAGCTTCAATAGATATTTGCTGGCCAGTTCTTGCTTTGAGACCTTGATAATCTGAAGCTAATTTAATAATATGAGATTTCAAGGCCAAAACAAGTCCAGAATCGTATGAAAGCATTTTAGTCTTTAAGTCATCACAGAACACTTTAAGAATTGACAAATCATCGGACTTTCCATTTAATAATTGTGATAATTTTTGTCTCATCTCTTTATCAAGTGTAGAAATGAACGAATCCTGGAAGGGAACAATCGATGATGACAAAACTGTAAGAGAATCTTGTCGATTTATCGAATCTGGCAGTCTATCAATTGCAGAAACAAAAGTTTGTCTAATTGAAGGAATTTCTGTAGAAATATCTGTTGATATCTTTGGATATTTCCTTGCAATGCTTTCTATTTGGCTTTGGAATGAAGTTGAAAAAGATTCAACGATATGAAAAGGTTCCAAAGGTTTTAAGTCATAAGAATTGGATTTTCCTAATGCTATCCTTGATAACATTGTTTGGTAGATCGTATTGACTCTTGAAGCGTAAATTGGCAAAATTAAAATTGTATCTTTAATAATTTGAAGAGAATTGGCTTGTCTTTGATTGACATCTTTCAGTTTTTCTTTCATTGTATCATTCATTCGAATTATTTCTTTCTGGTATGCTTCGTTCGAGATTTGTTGAAGATTTTCTAAAAAATCAAAAACTGCTGCAGCTGAACTCGCTTCTGTTACATTAGAAGTTTGTATGCTTTTATAATATTGATCTGTAGCTACATTTATGAGGTTATCGCATAATGGTTTCATTTTTTGCCAAAATATTTCGAAAGCATTGATTCCTTGCAATTCTCCTTTCTGTGCAATTAAATACATTTCACAAAGTCGGCGAATATCGTTGCTTGATCCTTTAATTTCTGTAACAGGAGTGATTTTTTCAGATTGTCTGACTAAAGCGAGGAATTTTTGGAGTGTTCGTAAAACTTTGCATATAATGTATGATTTTTGAAGATTTTCTGCGGCTGTTTGTACTCTTTTGAAAGGATTGACGATGGATGATGCAATTTGTTCAGTTTCATTTCGAGTTCTTGTAATTTGCGACTTCAAAGCTGTAACTCTATCGCGTAAGAATTTGACATCACTTGCATTTTGTAACAATTCGTCACTGTTTGCACAAACAGCTGTTCGAAGTTCTTGATCTAATGCCTGATTGCGAGCTGTAATTGTATCAAGTGCTTCTTGGTAGTTTCCTTGTTCGCAAACTTTCGCTGCAAATTTAATTGGCTCGATTTGTCCATTCTCAAGCTCGGAAATCGCTTTATCCATATACTTATTTTGATATGTTGTACAGATATATAAGTCATATTAAGCTTTCATTTAACAACGATTATGAGTAATTCAGTCATATAAGATATCTTTATAATTAATAAATTATATCTTTTGATAAACTAGTTTCATTCATTATATTTAAAGCAAGTAACGTTATTGAAGAAGCTCTGAGCAATCTTAAAGGATCTTTGACTCAAAATTCATCCTTGAAATATGAATATCCAAATGAGTTCGGATCAATAAAGACAGTGCAAGTATACTACATGTGTTTCAGTCATGTAAGTTAAAGATATTAAAATGCTTATTAAACAAATATTTTTTTGCAATGCTTCATATTTCATTAAAAGATTTATAATCATATACACTATTAACTATATTATTCAGATTTTACTAGCTAATCAATGGTAGCAATGTTACTCAATAAGAGAAAGAATATGACATATTCAATAACATATTTGTAAATTAAATTTTAATGAAAACTAATATAATAAGTGTCTAATGAAATTTAATGAAAAATTGTAAAACGCAAATATGTCATTTTTAAAATTATTTTAAAATATGAAATTTAAAATTTGATTTTACCCTCTCAAAATATGAAATTTTAAATTATTTTAAAATATGAAATGCTTCGTTATCTTTTAAATGCGATTTAGAAATAATTTTTATTTATTGATCAAGACATTCATCCAAACAAATTATTAATAATATAGGGTGTCCAAAGGTGTGTTTAGCACAAACCTGAATACTGCGAATAGAAATAAACAAGTTACATATATATAAAGTTTATTTAAATATAATCACCATTGGATTCAATCACGCGTTCGCAGCGATCGATCCAGGCTTGAAAGACACGCTTTAAATCATCATGAGAAAATTGCTCAAATTGCTATCTTACAAAATTTTCAAGATCATCTGGACTCGCGAATTCGCGTCCTTCAGCTCTCTTTTTTAGCGTGCCGAATAAATAAAAGTCAGAGGGTGCAATATCAGGTGAATAAATTGGGTTTGGAACAACTTTGACATTGTTTTCCACCAAGTAATTCATTACCTTATGACTTTTGTGAACTCTTGAATTATCAAAATGAATTGCAAACTTTTGTTTTTGTTGTTTGAATTTCTCAAACTCATCAGAATTGATAATTTGAGTAAGAACATTGTCAATTAGATACTGAGCATTCATCGTATTAGGTTTTTGAAGAATATCAATTGCGATGATGCCATTCACGCCCCAAAAACTGACAACATCATCATTGGTGTGTCAATTTTTTTCTTCGGGAATGTTTGCGGATTTTCATCCTTCCGGATCCACATGATTTTGGCTTCTGTTGCATATTGAAACCAAGACTCGTCCCCTGTTACTAAAAAGCGAAACTTCTTGGATTGATACGCACCCAATATAGAGAGGAGCTCTTTCGAAGATTGGACTCTAGATTTTTTTTGAACTGAATTAAGGTTGTGCGGAACCCAACGTGTATACGCTAGTTTGTAGTTCAAATAATTGTGCAGATAATAACTGACTGGTGTATGTGGTATCTTTGTCATCTCCTCTATCCTTCTGAGTGATGCTCTTGGGTCTTCATCTAGCGCTTGAAGAATTGCTTTGATTTTTCTTTAATCCGGCGATTTTTTGTCAATTTTTATGATGGGCGCCTTTTTGTTCATGAAGTGATACATCCTAACATGATACGTTACAGTGGAATAGCTAGGAGCATCCATACCGAAGCATTTTACCAATGTCTCGTAGATTTTTTTACAGTCTTTGCATTTTTTTGCAAGAGCGAGGATGTTTTCTTTATGATTCATTAAAAAAATGAAAAAATCCCGCCAAAATTTCCCGCGAAACCGCCTCTTGTCTCAAAATTCATTTTATATCCCGGCATGGCGCCAAAATACAACATACTCATCATATACATATATTCATATTTTTATTATATATTTATAATCAGCATATATCTCCTTTAATAGTCTCATATAGAGCGCTGTGCTAAACGCACCTTTGGACACCCTATAGAAACAAATTATGAAAATAATTTGAATGCTTCGTTAACGCATTTCATATGAAATTTAAATTTTGAGAGGAGGAGGATTACCCTCTCAATTTGATCTGATGCTTACCATTATTAAATTTGATAGACTAAAACAGGTATTCAGTGATTTAATCGATTTTCTTTTTTGCAATTATCAAATAAAATGAAAAATCAAAAGGGAATATATATCATCATATTCATTAAACAAATTAAAGATTTTTATGTATAATGACAAAGAAAGGTTTATCTCATTCACTGAAAGAGAAGGATTTGATAAAGATCATATGAACATTTGTTTGTCTTTTGCACCAAGTGAAAGAAGAAGTTTGGCTGTATCTGTACAAACATGATCTCTTGCAATTTCCAGAGCTGTTTTTCCATAATTATCTTCTTCATTGATATATGCACCATGTGAAATAAGAAGTTCGGCAGTTTCTTTACTATTTTTTTCTGCTGCATAATGGAGAGCAGTTTTCATTTTTTCATCTTTTTCATTGATATTTGCACCATGTGAAATTAGAAGTTCGACTATTTCTTTACTCTTATTTTCAACTGCATAATGAAGAGCGGTTTTCTTACATTTGTCTTTTTTATTGATATTTGCACCATGTGAAATAAGAAGCTCAGCTATTTCTTTAGTATTCCTTTCTGCTGCATAACGGAGAGCAGTTTTCCTAAATTTATCATTTTCATTGATATTTGCACCGTGGGAAATTAGAAGTGTCGCTATTTCTTTACTATTATATTCTGCTGCACTATGAAGAGCGGTTTTCTTACATTTGTCTTTTTCATTGATATATGCACCATGTGAAATAAGAAGTTCAGCTGTTTCTTTACTATTGAAAATAGCTGCATAATGGAGAGCTGTTTGCCTATCTTTATCTTTTTTATTGATATTTGCGCCATGTGAAATAAGAAATTCGGCTGCTTCTTTACTATTATATTCTACTGCACTATGAAGAGCAGTTCTTTGATAATCATCTGTTTCATTTATATCTACACCATGTAAAAGGAAATATTGGCAAATGGATGGAATATTAAACATCGGTGATATAATAAAAGAGTTAATTAAAAATTTAGATTGATCTAAAACAACTAAAAATGATTCAAGATTTTTATATTTTCTGCAATATTGTAAATCAATCTCTAAATCGTATTCATTCACCAAGAATGTAACAAAATCAATGTTGTGTGAAATAATCGCATATTCCATACATTTTTTGTCTGGTTTTTTATTTTTTAAACATTCACTCATGATCTCTTGATTTCCTCTTAAAAATGAAAATTGGAGACATATTTCAGTTATTCTTGAGTTGAATTTTGTTCTTAAAAACTTGAAACAATCAACTGCTCCATGGTAACAACATAATTCAAGTAATGAATATCCTTCTTTAGTATATGGATATAAATTGCTTTGAAGAATTTGATATTTATCAAATCCTTCTCTTTCAGTGAATGAAATGAATATTTCTAAGTCATTATTCATAATTGCTCTGTAAATTGTATTTTCTTTATGAATATCGAGATTTTCTGATTTAATTTGTTCGAAATCCACAGACTTGTCTAATTTAATTCCGTATTCTTTATAAAACAGGAAGTTTGAAATAAGTTTAACATTGTGGACTTCTTTGACTTGATAATTATCAGATATGAGCTTGGCAAGAGATAAATATGACTTTGTATAGCGATTATTATAAGGAATGATATCAATAATATCTTTTATTATAGTTTCTGGGAGATGATTCTTTGAATCGATCAAATTTGTATTGATCATTTTGTAAATCGAGTTTAATTCTTCTTCATTTTCTGTTTTTAGCTGATACAACGCATTAAATGAATCGATATAGTATTTCGACATACTGTGCAGTCCACTATATATGTTTGGATGACTGCCTTGATCTGACATTAAAAAATTATGCCAACTTAAAATTAAAATATCTCCAAAAGAATTGATTAAAATGGCTAAACTCATAATATCCTTTCAATAGAGTAAGTTTCTGACTGTACATCTCACAAATGTCATTGATTTCGAAGCATAACTTTTACCAACATTGTATACTAAGCATAACTTTTGTGCATTTCTCATCATTTGTACTCATACATCATCACTCACAAAGAAACAGGGATTACAGCATCGATATCATTTACTAAATCCTTGTTCTATGATAACTATATCGACTCAGATAACTAAACCGATATAACAAACACAAAATAGTGTCATTACCGATAGTATTCTAGCAAATGAAGGATCTGTTAAAATTGTTAGCCTTTGGCTGAAATCTGAACGAAATAAATCAATCTATTAATAGACATTCATCCAAACAAATACAGTGAACTAAGAAATACCCACAAATATTATATCGATATATACAACGTGTTATATCAGTTGAAAACGGAAAAACAAGAAGAATTAAAGTCGATTTTCAAAATGATCAAAACAGAATTGATTGATTCCAATAAATATCCACCTAAAAATATTATAGAAGACTTTTTAAATATCATTCCGTATAATAATCGCTATACAAAGTCATATTTATTTCTTGTCAAACTCTTTTCTGATGAATATCTTGTAGAAGAAGTCAACAATTTCACATTTACGCCAAGCCTCATGTTTTATAAAGAACATGGGTATAATAAACAAATCTTTTGATTTCAAAAATCTTGAAGTTCATACAGAAAATACAATATACAGAGCAATTATGAATAATGACTTAGAAAAATTCATTTCATTCACGGAAAGAGATGGATTTGATATAGATCAAAAACTTAAAAGCAAATTATATCCATATTCTTTCGCTCAATACTCATTACTTGAATTATGTTGTTACCATGGGTCAGTTGATTGTTTCAAGTTTTTAAGAACGAAATTTAACTCAAAAATAACTCTAGAGTGTTTAGAATTATCATTTTTAAGCGGAAACAAAGAGATTATGAGTGAATGCTTAAAATCTCAAAAACCAAATAATCAATGCATGAGAAATGCAATTATTTCACACAACATTGATTTTGTTACATTTTTGATGAATGAGTTCAATATCGAGATCAATTTAGATATTTGTTTAGATCACAAAAATCTTGAATCCTTTTTGGTTTATTTCGATCAAACTAATGATATAAACAAATGTTTTGTTTATTTACCTATATTTGGTATTCGATCCCTTATCGAATACTTCCTTTCACTTGGTGCGAATATCAATGAAAAAGATAAATATGGAAACACCGCACTTCATATTGCAGCATGGAATAATAGTAAAGAAACTACAGAAGTTCTGATTTCACATGGTGCAAATGTCAATGAAAAGGGTCAAAATGGAAAAACACCACTTCATAACGCATCATATAAAAATAGTAAAGAAATAGCCGAACTTCTCATTTCATTTGGTGCAAATGTCAATGAAAAGGATGAATATGGAAACACCGCACTTCATATTGCAGCAGATTGTAGTAGTAAAGAAACTGCAGAAGTTCTCATTTCACATGGTGCAAATGTCGATGAAAATGATAACACTGGAAAAACCGCACTTCATAAAGCAGCATTTGAAAATAATAAAGAAATAGTCGAACTTCTCATTTCACATGGTGCGAATGTCAATGAAAAGGATAAAAATGGAGAAACAGCACTTCACATTGCAGTACATAAAAATAATAAAGAAACAGTCGAACTTCTTATTTCACATGATGCAAATATCAATGAAAAGGATAAAAATGGAGACACCGCACTTAATATTGCAACATTTGAAAATCGGAAAGAAATAGCTGAACTTCTCATTTCGCATGGTGCCAAAGAATAGCGTTCTTACATAAGATAGTATTCTTTATTTTTCTGATATTTTCAAAGCTTGATTTGATTATTAATAAAAAATAAAATTAAAATTTCCCCACAGATTCTATACGTTTCTCTGGATTTTTAGTTTTGTTAATCTTTGATTATTCTTTCAAACGTACAACAATCTATCATAACTTACACTATCACTTATAACATATCTACCTACAAGAGATAAGAGAATGTACTTTTACTCGAAGTCTCTCATTTGATAAGAGGTCTCGGAAAAATTCTGCCCCAGTGTGGAGTAGCTGTGGTACTTGGCCCATAAAAGAAATTTCTTTTCCTCTTATTATTATAATTTGAAAAAAGTGACAAATGAATCAATCATCGAAATTATCTCAGCAACTTGTTTCCTTAACAGTAAATGCGTTTAATGATTCAATGTCATAATTTATATCATTTTTTATTTTTTATGAGTATAACAGCAGATGATTTACTTTCTTTGATTTATGATGCGACCGAATCACCAAATGCAGAAGTTCAATCGAATGCAGACAATCAAATCTCGGAATTGATGAAATCAAACAGTCCTTTTTTCATGGAATTAATTTATCAAATCATCTCTAATCATAATAATCCACCAAAATCAATCATTAGTACATCTGTTATCTTTGGGCGATTCTTAGATTATAAAGAAAGAGCACATTTAGATGCTCTCAAACAAATTTTTGAAAATTCAGAGTGTACAAATCTCATTAATAAGACATTTGAAGTTGTTAACGATATGGTTACTTGCTATGGAGATACACAAATACAAATTCACGGCGCGAGATTGTTTTCATTATTTTATCAAATCAAACCAGAGATAATTTGCGAAAAACTCAAATCATACCTTGATCAGTGCCTCACAGAAGATTCACCTATTGATCTGAAATTCGTTTGTATTGAAATATTCGATGATATTTACAATATTTGTTTTGAACCTATTATTGTTCCACTTATACTTGAAATGACAAACGTTCTTAAGCAAAATCTACTACTTCCAGATAGCGATGACACAATTGAATTGAAAAAGAAGTCATTAAATTTATTATCTAATATTTCCGCAGGATACAAAGACCAATCATTTGTAAACGAAGAATACATCATTGATATACTTAACATCTTACGAAATATCATCGAAATACCGAATATTGATCTTAATTCTTTTTGTCATAGTTTTCTTCTTTCTGTTGCAACAAATTTCTATCATAGCATTGAACTATTTATGGAATTTATCAGTCAGTTTACTCTTAGAGGCCTTACAATTGAATCAGAAGATTCAGAAGAATATCAAAAAATTTCTTTAAAGTTTTGGCATGATTTTTCCAATTTCGAATACAAAATAAGGAAAGACCAAAGTCAAGAGCTGAAGAATATCTGTTCAGAAGGTTGTTCTCTTCTTTTTGACCCAATAATGAATTGTATTTTCAAAATAAGCACAGATACGTTAGATATTGAAGATCCATCAGAGATAACATTATCATCAGCTGCAATGACAACTCTTGGAAGCCTCTGCAAATCATCTCCAACAGATTATCTTCCATTAATTGCAAATGCGATGTCAAATTTGCAAATAACATCAGATAATTGGATAGACAAATACGTATTCGCAGTTCTGTTCTATATAATCGCTTGCAAAATCACAGAAATTGAAGATAAAAGATTTTTGAAAGAAGTTGACGGTTTTGTAAACTCCAATTTCTTTACAATTTTCCAACTTTTGCAGACCGATAACCAGAGGCTCAGAGAAATAGTTCTTTGGGTTGTTGGCCAGACAATTGCTAGACATCCGTCACTTTTTGTATCGCTCACTTCACCTCTTGACTTATATCTTCAAATGATGGAATTTATCAATTACAAGCAATGTATCACTGACGAAGCTGTTGATCCCTTGATACATTTGAGAATTATATCAATTATTTATAACATTTGTCGTTGTTATTCTCCGAATTCTGTTTACAATCTTTTGTCAATTTCTATGGGCGGAAACATGATTGAATCAACAGTTATGACTGTTCTTAAGCTGCCAAGGACACAAGATAACGAAGATTTGTTGGAAAGATGCTACGAATGCTTGAATGTTTTTTATAGAAATTGTCCGTCAAATGAAGTGGTTTTTGACGATTATTTGTCAAAAACTTTGAAAGAAATGGAATTTGTTATTAATACTGAATTTAGTGAATCTGTTAAATTTGTTCACATGGCAAGTCTTACATCGAATTTATCAACATTAATGACAAGAATTCGTGTCTACAAAAATTTATTAAGAAATTATTTATATCCTGTTTGGGATTTGATGTTTACTTTGTTAACAAATACAAATTGTATGATATATGTTGAAGCAATGAATTGTTTAACAACCGTTATTGCATGCAGTATTGGATTGCAAGAAACTGATCAAACAAATGAATTTTTACAAGAATTAGTATCTGATAAATCAAAAATTGATCAATTAAATGATTTTGTAACTGAAAGTTTTAATTCTCAAGATAATATTGTTATTTTTGCCGCTTCTAATTTGATAATTCAGATGTATAAATATATTCCTGAAATGCTACAATATAGTCCTATTTATTTGGAATTGTTTATTAATATAATACAATCTGATTCTTTGAATATTTCTTGCAAAGCAATTGTTTTCGATGCTTTGATGACAATTATTAAGTATTTGCCGATTGATGATTGTTTGAATTTGCAAGAAGTTGTTGTTGAATTTAATGGTGTTTTTATTAATCATTTGACACAACAATTGCAAGAAGATGATGATGAAAAAAGTGTTTTGTTGATGGCAATAAGTAGATGCTTCGAAGTTTTGGCTTTGAAGTATCCAAAAGATGAAGATCCGAAATCTGAATTGTCAACTTTGAATTTGGTAATTAGCATCTGTACAAAAATTGATGAAATAAGGAATCCTAGTGATGAATGTCTGGAAAGAGCTCTAGATATGGTTGGAGCATTCGGAGCATGGTGCAGCAAACTGAGAAAGCCGAAACTAAGACATAGAAAGATAAAGGAAATGATGGAAATCGCAAAACAAAGAACATATTTGAAAGAAAAAGTTAATGATGTTATGAATAAAACGGAATAAATATTAGTGTTTATATTAGGATAATAAATATTAATGAATGCTTTTTTTTAGATCTGGTAACAATTCATGTTCATGTGAATCATTTGATTGATTTATCATATTAACATGAACAAACACGGATGATCTCCTATCTAATTCATGCCATTTTGCTTAGTTTCTGGCAATTTCAATTCAATTTTCATCAATAAAGCTAGGTTCACTAAATTTCTAATCAGCAAATCAAAACTTTCATAACCACATTCTAATACATGCCTGTAAGTTAGTTTCATATTTTAATTATTTTTTATTTTTTTTTACAATATCAGAGATTAATATCAATGCTAACATATTTTGCACCCATAGTAATATGCAAATATTATCTCATATTCTTCATTTTCATATCAGTAATGAATGAGACGTTTTGAATTTGCTTAATTAATCAACAAACTTATATGGTAAATGTATTTTATTTATACTGTTAACATATAGAAGATATATTTTATGTACGCAAGGCTTTATACTCAAAGTTGGAAAGAATTTCATTATGAATTTAAGATAGACATCGAGAACAAACTTAATAAACCATGGTATTATATTCCCTCATATAAGTACTTCTATACTTAATATGAGAAGGTTTTGCGATTTGCCCTTAGTGTGGGAGCCCTTCTAAAAAAAATAGCAAAAGCGGCAGAATTATGAATTTATTTATAGCCTGGTATAGAGTATAATTTTCAATGCAAAATTAAAAAATTTTTACAAATCCATAAATGAGCGCAAGTGGATTGAAAAGGGATCTTGTTCTCATGATTGTTGAAGTTTTATTCGGATCAACTGCCAGAACAGTTGCCGAAGCTATCAACGATTATGGTCCATGTCCTCTCGGATTCATCAGTTCGAGGACAAATATATCCGTTTCAGATGTACAGACTGTTTGCTTAGCAATGTACGTACATGGTGTTGTTAACATCCATGGAGAAGGAAAACGCGCTACTTTAACACTTGCAACGCTTCCTCTTTTCATTTTAGCTGCACCTTCAATTCTTCTTGAAGAAATTCGAACAGCATACGCAAAACAAGAATTACTCGATGTTTTATACATTTATTTATTACAAGGAATTTGCACAGTTGAACAAGGCGCGAAATATTTCCATCAAAATGAAACAAGAACAGCAAACGAATTTCAAGGAACTGATGAATCAAACTCTGTTAATTCATTCGAGAAATTTGATGAAGTTACAAAGGAACTCTTTAATTTGGGTTTCCTTTGCAGAGGAATTAGAAGTTATCATCCGTTCACCTCTCAGGATGTCATATCATTAGAGAGAAGAATCAATAACTTGCAATTGAATCAGAAGAGAGTTACAAAAGCTCAACAACAAAAAGAAGAAGAGGCAATGGCAGTCCAGAACAGGACATTACCTCAACAAGAGGAAATTCCTACAGATGCATATTCAGTTGACTGGAATGCATGCGCCCAATTCATTCGCGCAAGATATATAATTAATTATGTTAACAAAGCATTCGGTCCAGACTATGGCATCATCATTGACAAAGTTGTTACTAACGCGCACTGCTGCAATTACGTCCATTTCCGTAAAATGGCCGAACATTCTGACGACCAATTACGAAATGAAGGTTTACCATACTCTAGACTATCCGGAACAGACATATATCGACAGTTTTCAGATATTCCTGCTACAGTTTTCTTCGAGCGCCTTGATAAACTATCAAATCCGAGTACGAAATCAATTTTCGGATTATTAACATCAGCAGAAGACGGCACAGTATACGATTTTAAAGTACATAACTGTATCAGAAAGATCCAATTGATGTACGTCAATTCTTTCGCAGAAACAGCTCTTTGTCCGATGCATGGTCGAATTTTCGAAACTTTACAAGACTTAGAAATTGCAGATACGAGGCAACTTGAAGACGAAGCGATTGTCTCAGATAAGGAAGCGAGATGTGCAATGTACAACCTCTGCAGAATGGGATTGACACAGATCCAGGCAATTCCGAAAACAGCTGATAGAATGCTGAAAGAAATGTATTTTGTATGGAAATACAATGAAGATTCTGTCATCGCTGAAGCAGCAAACAACATAGGAAAGGTTGCTTTGAACATGTGGGATAAGATCACATCATGTATTGAAGAGGCTGACCATGTTGCGCACGCAGATTCACTTGATAAAACTGCAACAATGGCGAAATCTCAGGAAGATAAAAATCTCGCTGGTTTCCACTCTTATTTCATTGATCAAATGAGACTATATGTTCTTCTTGCTGAAATGTAATTTATATTAATAAAAAAATATCATTATTTTTAATATTTATAATTGAGATGAGCTTCAATACCAAGATGAATACCGTCCATATCAAAGAATTAACTAATCTCGAAAAGAAATACATAATTGAGAAGCAACAACTCAAGAACAAGGTATATCCAGAGGTAGAATCCCTTAAGCAGATGGCCGCTAAGCTAACACAGCAAGGCGAATACGATCAAGCCCAAATTAAAGTAAATGAAATGATGAAAATGAAGAAAAAGCTTCTTAAACAGAACGAATACGAGATTGACAGGAAGCACAACCAAAGAGTTAAGAATTTAGAAGAGAAACAATGCCAGGAACTCAAAGTTCTCGAAGAAGAAAGTGAAAGAGAGTTAGAAAGAATAAACAACGAGTTTGAAGAGAATATAAGAGTTCTCAAACTAACTCTCAAGTCTACAATCAAAGCTTCTGTATCAGACTACGCTCTGACGGCCTGACTTAAGTACTTTCTGAGAATCTGTTCGTCAGATAGTATATACATTTGTAAACTTTTTGACACAAAAATTTTTTTGTCGTCTTTATTTCTGTTTAAACAGGATTTCTTAACTTGAATGTCGATATTCTCTGTACTGAAATTCGGAACACAATAAATTCAACATATATATATATATAATAGTTTATTGAATCTCTACTTATAACTTTCATTAGCCACATTATCCTGCTCATTAAATTGTCAATGATAGCCCGTATGAGGCAAAACCGTGCACTAGTTCTCAAAATTGAGGGAAGTTTTGGCCGTAAAAATATGACTTATTTTACGGCTACATTCTTTGCATAACTTACAATATTAAGACTCAAAATAAAATATGGAAAATAGCTTTACATCATTAATGCAATGCATAATAGTAGTAGGGTATGATGGGTTATGTGACTTTTTTTGTAAACGTAAGAATTCATACAATATTGAACGATTTTGTATCATTATTTTTAACATTAATTTTAAAATAATTTATTTTTTTTATTCTTACATAAATGACCCAACAAGTAAAACCAGATAAAATAGATTATCGAATTTTAGAGGATGGTGTTCCTGTTTATATTCAAAGATTTAAAGGGAAGCAATATTATAGAATTCTTAATCCTGAATACATAAAACATTTATTTAAAAAGGAAGACTGTGAATTATTAAACGTTAATGAATATGAAACCAATAAATCAAAATTGAAATATAAATATATTGGAAGTGATGAAAGATGTAAAGATAAAAATAAAGTTTATACTGTTGCATGCTAAGTTCGGTCAAAATGTAAACCTCTCAATTTTATCGTCGGGGAAAGTAACTCAATTCCTTCAAAATTATTCTTTAAATATTGAATTTAAAGTTATTTAATTTGGATTATAAATAAATAGGCTAATACAATATTTAAAAATGAGAAAAAATAACTTTTCAAAGAACTTTTCATAATCTCAAAGAAAATTTTTTATTCAATAATTATATAAATTAATTAACATTCATAATGAAATTGGATTTTTTTTTATAAAAAATTGGTCCTACTTAACTTTTTGAGAGAATTTGGCTTTCTCGTAAACGAAAAAGGGGATTTGACGGAGTCAAATCCCCGCTCACAAAAAGTGGACTTTACATGTCAAATTTTATATGCATGTAATGTCCACTTTTATGAGTTTTAGGAAGGAATTGGAAGCCATGAGTTACTGACATTGCATCAGTATCTCATAGCCTCCAATTCCTTCAAAAAATGGGACAAACTTTGTCCGAATAGTTTAACATTCGGACAAAGTTTCTCCCATTTTAAGAAGGAATTGGAGGGTAAGAGATATACCATATGAACGTATATCTCTTACCCTCCAATTCCTTCGAGAAAGTGTCCAAACTTTGGGTTAATTGCAAAGTATTAACCCAAAGTTTGGACACTTTCAAGTGGAGATGGAAGGCTTTGGGGTATATATTAATACAATATACCTCAAAGCCTTCCATCTCCACTACAAATGTGAGAAACTTTGTCCGAATAGTTTAACATTCGGACAAAGTTTCTCCCATCTTTCAATGTAATTGCTACCTGTGAGGTACTGACTTGAAGTCAGTGCTTCACAGGTAGCAATATCCAAAAATTTAAAAACATTTTATCAGTTCGTTAGAGAACTAGAGCCTCCTAGGTACTGAACCAGAATCAGTGCCTAGGGGACTCTAGTGATCTATATAAATCTGAGAAACTTTGAGGAAATTGTTCGACATTTCCTCAAAGTTTCTCAGCAATTTAGCGAGGAATGTTCGTTATCGTGTAGATATTTATAATATATACATGATAACAAACATTCCCCGCTAAAAGATGTAAAATCTTATAAGAAATAATTGCAAAAGAATAACAAATTGCAACAAATTTTATATGAAACTGAACCTTATGAGGTAGTGATTCAAGATCACCGCCTCATAAGATTCAGTTTCAATCTCAAGTATCTCAAAAGTAAGGCTCTATTTTTTGCCATGTAAAGTGTCACTTTTTCTGTCCAAATGATAAGTTATTCAGAGAAAGTTTCCCAGCTATCAAGAGGGAATTGTTCCTTATGAGTTATATATTCATACTGTATACCTCATAAGGAACAATTCCCTCCTTAAAACGAGAAAACTTGTTCGAAATTGTTTATCATTTCGAACAAGTTTTCTCGTTTTTAATAAGAAACTAAAGGCTATGAGGCACTGATTATATATTAGTGCCTCACAGCCTTTAGTTTCTAATAGATAGCTGGGAAACTTTCTCCAAATGATAAGTTATTCAGAGAAAAGTTTCCCAGCTATCAAGAGGGAATTGTTCCTTATGAGGTATATAGTTATAATGTATACCTCATAAGGAACAATTCCCTCATTAAAATCGTAGATATTTTTTACTTATTACTCATGCTTTCAAAATCACAATCCTCTGAAAAGTTATTTTTTATTAAGAATTTAGAATTTTGATAAATACCTTTTTTCAATTTGATATAATACTTATATATTTTCAAAAAGACATTTTGAAAAGATATCTCAAAAGTTCTCTGAAAACCTATTTTTGATTAATTTTGAGAAATATCCGTATTAAATTAATCAATAAATTCATTCAACACTACTTTAATTTTTAAATTCAAAAAATTATATGTGCTTCTTAAAATGTCTCACAAAAATTTTATTATAAAATTATATACAATATTAAAAATCCCACAACATTTTTTACTTTACATAATCGTACTTCCTCGACGATTAATTTCCCCTCAATTTCTATCGTTGACCGAACTTAGCATGCAACAATACAGTTTCATATAATGAATGGAAAACCAATAAGATAAGAAAACATTTAGGAGATTATGGGAAATGTTCTGAATTCTTCAAATCTAGTATGTACGAGAGAGTAAAAGAAATTAGAAATAATTATTTTCATGAATAAAAATAAACTTTAAAAATAAATTGAAACTAATGATTATTTGAATTTATGAAATCAATTATTTGATTCATTCGCTCTTCAATAATTTCTATTCTTTTTGTTAAATCATCTATTTTCATTAATGAGGTGATTCTTGATTGAGGAATAGATTTCAAACTAACCACTCCTTTTATTTTTGAAATTTTGAATCCATCAACTTTAAACATTTTATTCAATTTACATGTTGTCAATTCTTCAAATAATTTTTTATTATTAGCATAATAGTCATTAAATTCTTCAACAGATGAAAAAATTTTTATTTCAGTAATTGGTTTAACAACGTTTATTTTTTGTTGAACATTTTCACTTTCATTTATTTCTTCCTCCTTTGTTTCATTTATTTTTAAAATTGGTTTCATTTATCATTAAATAAAAATTAGAATATAAGTGATGAAATATATTTTTTAATTAATATTAAATCAGAAATGGCGGCAGGATTCTTTAAAAAATTATGGGATGGAATTAAGAAAGCTGCGGGTTGGGTTTATAAAAAGGTTATTAAACCTGTAGCAAACTTTTTGGCACCAGTAGCGAAAACGGCGGGAACTATCATAGGTGGAGTATTAGGTACAAAAGCAGGTAATCCGGCGATGGGAGCACAAGCGGGTAACGCAATTGGTGGAATTGCTGAAGGAATACTTAATAAAATAGGAGGTGGATAGTGGAAAAAATAAATATTATTTTTATCTTAGTATCGGTTGTAGTCTTTGATAAACTTTTTCTCCTTTATTTAAAATTTCTCTTATTGGGGCAGCTTTTGGCGTTATTGATTCAGCAATGTCACTAATTGCTTCTTTATTCTTAAATATCCAATTTGCTCCTTTCTTCATTGTTTCCCAAACTTTATGCGCTCCTCTTTTTACTTTATCCCACAGTTTCTTAAATATACCTGCAGCCATAGTTGATTATTTCATTAAAATTAAAAATTCATTTTCATCTATTAATTTTGATTTTTTATTTAATAATAAATGACGACTAACTATTTGGTGCCAAACACTAAACCAATTAATGGAAATGTATTTCATTCATTCGAAAAGATAAATGAAATATTCGCAAAGAATGACGGTAGAAGATATTATAGAGAACTTGAAAGTTCATGCTATGACTCTGATGCTCCATATTTTGATGATAAACAAACTCATTTAAGAATTACAAATCCGGCTCATGATGTGAACCAATTAGGTGACACATATATTAAACGCAAAGTTAAAGCAACTCTAGTTTCAAATAAAGCTTTCACATGTGATGCCGCTTTTAAATGCATGCGTTTATTCGTTGTTACAAATCATCAAATCAAAGCTTTAAACAATTAGAAGTAGAAACTGAAAGAGGTGATGCCGGTTATCTTCAGATGGATTGCGCCCGTGAATCTTTCGCATTTGCAACATATAAACCAAAATCAGAAAGGAAAGTTAAAAAGTTTGTTCATTCGTTATATAATAATGTTCAAAAATATGATAACTCAGTATGTGGTAAATATATTGACCCTTCAGAAGTTTTCAAGAGAGCAAATGAAGAAGTTGATATCACTTTTGATATGATTATTCCGGTAAATGATTTGTTAGCATTTCAGGCGTTCGATGATTATCCTAAATCATTTGGTGAAATCATTCTTAAATATTATGTTTTCAGGGATACTTTAGTATTTTGTCAGGTTGACCCGTTAAGAGTTGCTGATTTACAAAATTACGTTTATGAAAAGATAACTGATGAAAATTATGAAAAGGTTATGAATCATGTTTATAAATATGATCGCAAATTCCAACAAATCGGACTTCCTGCCAAATTAATTACAAGCTTAGCCGCTACATCTGCTGACGCAACAGTTGATAGCGTTATTATTTCATGCACAAAGATGGAAGTTTTAGAGGATAAATGCATTATACCAGGATACGGTTTAATTGAAGAATCAGTTAAAGCAATACCACGTTTATTTAGTAAGGAAGATCCATTCATGATTCCAGCTCAACATATTGACGTTCGTTCACTAAATGGAGGTTGCATCACTCCTGAAGGTATTAGCTCAGATTTCTCATACGCTCTTCATAATGTTACAGATGTTGTGTTAACATTTCCAAAGAATGCAATGCAAAGAACGGTTTTAGAAAATCCAATGCTTCGAGGTCTTCAGGTCACTATAGATTCCAGAAACTTCCCCGATCAAGCGATGACCACAGTGGGTGACATATTCTTTACACGTATGCTTCAAGCTTCCGATTTAGATGGAGTGAATGAATGCACGGAAGAATACGAGGACTCATTAACTAGACCACTGAATGCAGATGATGGCACGCCATCAGCTAGAACATGGAAAGACCAAACTTCATTCTTATGCACTATTCCAGTTCAACGTAATGGAGCGGGTATATTCTTTGATGGATTAGAAACTTTCAATTCACAAGTTACAGTACAAGTGAAAGCTTATCCAATCATTCAGGGTGAAAATGACACTTACTGTTCAAAAGTGACAAATCCTCCTCAGGTTTGGTTTACTAGGACTACATATTGGACATGGACACCGGACGAAGGTTTGAAATATCATCCAACAGGTACACCACCACAGTATAGAAGTTCATATGATGAAATATTGATGAATAGAAATGTTTAAAATTATAAATTTATTTTTGATTAAATGGATTTCAATTCTGAAGAATTAACAGATGTATATAATACCTACATAGATGATATGATTAATGAAGCATTGAGTGATAATAGAAATGCTCTATCTAAGGAAAAATTAATGAAAATTCCATATTCTGAATGTTACTTAAATTCAATCACTGCAGCAATTGGTAAACAAAATAAAGGTAAAACGTTAACGATATTAAAACAAATTATCATTATTGCTAACACTTCACCCCATTCACATGTGTTAATTTATATCAACCGTTCAGGTTCACCTTCAGATGATACATTTGAATCTTTAAAGCATTTAATCAAAATTCCAATTATTTATTTATCACAAGAAGAAGCAGAAGATTATTTAAAAAACTTTTTAATGTATAAAGAATTATATAATACAATCAAGAAGCAAGGATTAGAGGATAAAATTATTGATAAACAACGGGATGAATTATTTGAAACACTTTCTATTTCAAATTTTGATAGAGAATTTTTGCATTCACTAATTTTTCTAGATGATGCGTGAAATCAAAACTAATAACAAATGAGAAATCATATTTTAATCAGTTATTAACTCAATGTCGACACATTCAGTGTTCATTCTTATGGCTGTTCAATACTTCAAAGCATTAAGCACAAACATTAAATCAAACCTGTCCACCCTTTTCATTTTCAGTGGTTTTAGTCGTCAACAGTTGAACGTTATGCTTTATCAAGTGAATTTACCAATGAGCATTAATGAACTTTACACACAATATCAGCAATTAGGTGAACATGGAAAAATAATAGTTGATTTAAATAAAGGAGGTGTTAAATTTGATTAACTTTTTATAATTAATTTTTATTTTTTATTTATAATTAAACATGACTGAAATAGCAAATCTTCTACAGGTTCCATTAAAACAAGGAACAAACAAAAAGGGTGCATATAATAGAACTATGAAAGTTCCAGATGGAATGAAAGAATTAGTTCATATTGTTGCCGGTCTTCAAAAAGATGTTAAACAAATGAGAAACGTTTTAACATTACCAGAAGCTCAAGCATATGCCAAACGTCATGGACCAAATTGGGAAGCACATGAAGCAGACATTACAGGACCAAATGGAAAACCTGATGGTATAAATGAAGTTTTCGTTACTGATGGTCAAGGTAATATTAAAGTCATAAATGGTTATAAATTAACTGTATCTGATTATCCTAAACGTAAAGCATATAATGAACGTTATCCTATGCAATTTGATGAAAATGGAAAAGCTGTTAAACAATACATTGGAGAAGGTGAAAATGGTCCAATTAATTCATACCGTTATAATCCATATTCTTATTTCAATGAAGAATTAAATGCTATTGAAGAGGGACCGGATGGATTACCACGATATGTTAATCAGTTTGATGGTCAATATGCATATTTGAGACCTGAAATTCCAGCTAAGAAATTCTTTAAAGTTGCTTTATTCGATCCAGTGTTCAATGAACAGAAAGAAGCAATGAAAGCAGAATTTAAACCAATTCAAGTGGCAAGAATTTCTTCATCTTCACTTTCAGAAGCGTTCAAGGAATTGATAAAGAAACCACTTTATTCTCAACAAGGTTATAACTTTGATTTAATTAAAGAAAGTGATAGACGTAAATTAGAAAAATCAGATGGTTTTAAGAATGCATGTAATGAAATGATTAAAGATATTGTAAATGATAAAATAAGACTGGAAGAAACTCAAAGCAATATCAATAACATAATTGGTGCAGTTACAAAGAAAGTATAAGCAAACAATGATGAACCTTGGGATATTACCGTAACAACTAAATAAAACTTTAAATATATTTTTCTTTTTTTTATTCAATTATAAATGAGAAGACGTTTCACAAGTCAAAAGAACACTAACGCAAAAGCAGAGATTACGGTTGGTTATAACGTAAATGATGATAAATCACGAATTATTCAAAATGTTAAAGTTAATGTTAGCCCTGAATTAACAAGGTCAGCAACTCAGTCCAATTTATTAACTCATGACTTACCGAAAAAGGAGGAGGAGCAAAATAAAGAAGATGGAGACCCAATCATTTTATCTGAACCCGGTAAAGAACCTGTTGAAATTCCCACTTATCCAACATACCCCCCACCTCTTTCATCAAACATCGAGAACCCAGGAATCTACGATTCCAGTCGCAATGCGCCATATAAAATAGACATTAATTCTGAATTAATGAAAATTTACCGTGATATAATAATTAATAATTATGATTCAATAATAAATTTAATTGACCAATCTGGTTTAATTATTTTACCTTATGAATCATTAATTCACATTATCGCCATTCTTTGTGATGTTCAAGATTCAGACGTTAAGATTCAATTTTTCATAGATGATGAGGTTTCATGCTGCGGAACAGTTGCAAAAATAAATCCTATAAAGGATATTAGCACAATTAAGATATCAAAGAACGGAACAACAACTGAACTTCATTTAACATATAATGATATTTATAATAAAATAGTTGATGAATATAAAATATCACTTGAAAAATTCTTTGTTAAGGCTATTTAATATTCAAGCATTAACATTATTGAATAATAATCCTTTGAATCATAATCAATAATAATTGACCTTTCACCAGTTTCTATCGTTTGTTTTATTTCTTTTTGTTCCCCACTATCTGGATCGGTCATTGTAATTGTTTTTGTTATAGTATCAGCTTTATCTTTAACTTCAATCTTTTTTCCATCGGGATATTTAAACCAAAATTCCAAAAATTCGATATTGTCAATCTGTTCATATTTTAATCTATCAATTACATTTTTAATACCATCTGAAAATCTTATGAAATGGTCATTATATGGGTTTGATTGAACTAAATTTGAATGAAGTGAAATATAACCCGATGATGAATATGACATTGACTCATATTTTCTGAAAACACTAAAATTTATAACATGAATGAATTTCTTATTCGTTGAATTTATGAATTCTTGAGGTAATCTTATTCTAGTTTTATTTATCACTGGAAAATAACGCTTTACCATATTTTTAATCGTAATAAAAATGTCAATTATCAATATTATTTCGAATAATAGCTGTGAATTAAATTTAACAGTTAGCGGAATTTATAATGTTACTCTCGTTTCTGTGAGTGGTAAATTTAATCCCATTCTTTTAGACCCTTCAGATTATATATCATTTATTAAAGATGACCATGAAAAAACGTATGATATGTATATAAATAATGTGATAACGAAATGGGATATTAACATGATTTTAAGTTATTTAAATGAATCATTTATCGTATGGTATGAAGAAAATTTTAAATCAAAACCTGATAAACTTTTTGAGCTTGATGAAATAAATAACCTTATTAAATTCCCGCTGAAAATTAAATTTTGTACTCCTCATCTTCGTTCATTGTTGGGGATATTAAATTTTGAAAAAGATTGGGGATGTTTTGTATTCTGACACTGGTTCCAATTTCATTTTAATCAAATGTGATAAAGTTAATACCCCAATGAGATTTTCACATCAAACATTAGACCCTAACTCTTACCCATCAATACAAAACATTTTATCCATCAACTTAAACATATTTTCTTTATCATATCCGTTTCAATTATCCGGGAATTCATTTATTCTTCATTCAAAAGATTTATCAAATATTAAATTTAGAATAACCGACCTATTTGATTGTGATTTAGAATTCATGAATGAAATATTATGGCAATTTCAAATAGAAAAAATAGGTGATGAGATAACAGATTAAATATTTATTTTTTAATCATAATAAATGATTAAACAACAGCAACCACAGCAACTTAAGACCCTTCAAACCATTACATACGCCACATATGCATATAATTCAAAGACGGCAGAACAAACGCAAAGGTTGAAATATGGAGATTTGGAGATAGTATTGAAAAATGACCATTTCGAATTCGTTTGCAAGGGTGGTGCAGTGATATCAAATATAAAAGAAATTTTATTTATGAATTCAAAAATTAAAGGTATAACGGATGATATAACATCAATTCCACCAGAAGAACAGAGATATTACGCATTAAATGCATTTCCTAAAGTTTTGAAGATTGGAAGATTTAATTTAAATGAGGAATTCATAAAAGGTTTCCTAAATGACATAATGAAGAAAGCGGATAAGGAATATGTCAACAGTGAGTTAGAGAAGAAGGCGGATAAGGAATATGTCAACAGTGAGTTAGAGAAGAAAGCAGATAAGGGACTTATGGCTAGTGAATTAATGAAGAAAGCAGATAAGGAATATGTTAACGAAAAAGATAATGAAATTAAAGAAATGGTTGAATGGTATCATGAATGGACATCAAAGATTTTAAAAACTAAAGCCGATACAGGATGGGTTTCAGGATGTTTAGACCTTAAAGCGGATAAGGAATATGTCAACAGTGAGTTAGAGAAGAAGGCGGATAAGGAATATGTCAACAGTGAGTTAGAGAAGAAGGTAGATAAGGGACTTATGGCTAGTGAATTAATGAAGAAAGCAGATAAGGAATATGTTAACGAAAAAGATAATGAAATTAAAGAAATGGTTGAATGGTATCATGAATGGACATCAAAGATTTTAAAAACTAAAGCCGATACAGGATGGGCTTCAGGATGTTTAGACCTTAAAGCGGATAAGGAATATGTCAACAGTGAGTTAGAGAAGAAGGCGGATAAGGAATATGTCAACAGTGAGTTAGAGAAGAAAGCAGATAAAACTTATGTTAATGAAGAAATAAAACAATCAGAGGTCTATTTTACTCCACCATTTTTAAATTTTATGAAATCATCAGATAAAACCTTTGATATAGATTCTTTTGAATGGATATGTTTCGATGGAGTGACCATGTATTTATTTTATACAGCTGGAGTGCTTTATTATTTTAAAACAAATGATTTTAAAAACTATGAATCATTTACTCCATCTGTTTTGAATCCTGATACACGAAAGCCAATCATTAATCCAATAATTTTATATGTTGAATATAATAACGGTAAATTTATGGGAATGATAACGGTTGAAGATGATTTTTGCCCTTGTTATTCATTCGATTGTATCCAATGGTTCAAATGTAATTTAAATCAAGATGCTAAATTTAAATATCGAGATAATCCTATTAGATGTGTTAATAATAAATGGGTACTAATTTATGAAGTCAATCAAATTTTCATTAGTGAGGATGGGATAAATTATTATATGTTTAGTATGATGTCATCAGATTTGAAAATTGATTATACAAGTAAGTGGTATTACATTAACAACATGTATTTTATCCTACAAAATGATAAAATTTATAGATCATCTTCAATATCACAAGGTCAATTTGAACAAATTTTTCAAGCTGATGGAGACATTGAAGCTTTATGTTATGGATCAAATGTTTATGTTCTCGTTTCAGGTGAAATGGTCTATTCATATCCTGTAAGTTATAACAGGCATATTTATTTATCACAGGATTTATCAAATTGGGAATTGGTTTATTCATTCACTCCAAAACTTACTCAAAATTATAGATTTACAAATTTATTTTATATTGATGGGTATTTCATTGCTTTAGGATGTGGTGATTTAGTAAATATCAGTAGTGATGGAAGAAACTGGTCTGAAATCACAAAATTTCAAGATGTTAGAAAAGCAATTTTCAAAAATAATACGTTAATATTGATAACAAGACCAGTTTTAAATACTCACCCAAATTCAATATTATATAATAAATTCAATATTCATAATGGATTAAATACAATTCTTGAGATGATTTACCCCATTGGTTCTATTTATACGTCAATGAACTCAACAAATCCTTCAAAAGTTTTAGGTTTTGGTGCGTGGGAACAGATTGTAGATAAATTCCTCTATTGTGCGAACTCTTCAAAGCAAACAGGAGGTTCGAAGAAAATTAAAGAAGCAAACTTACCCCCGCACACTCATACAGGAACTACAAACTTTTCTGGCGACCATAGTCACTCATTAAGAGACCATCCATTATACAACTCAGAATATTATGCTGGCAATGACGTTTTATCTCCAGATTATAACCATTCAGCAAAAAAGACTTTTCGACCAACTGAACCAGGAGGAAATCATTCACATACTTTCACAACAAATCCAACAGGCTTGGGTAAAGATTATATGCCACCATTTATGACTGTATTCGCATGGTACCGCATTTATTGAATGTGCTTGAGCCTACTTTGCAGGCTTACCACGTTCATTGAATGAACTAAATATATTTTATGTTTGTAATTAATTAGGTAATGAAGTAATGAATGAACTGCAGAAATAAATGTTTACGTTAATGTTTACAGGTTATTCAATAATGACTTATTTTTGAAGAACTGAAGGTGCTACCATGTTACCATGTGCTACCAGGTCATTTAACTTTTCTGAAAAAATGAGACAACATGACATTTTGACAACAACACAGGAGGAAGGTAGTTATGACTTATTTTTGAAGAACTGAAGGTGCTACCATGTTACCATGTGCTACCAGGTCATTTAACTTCTCTGAAAAAGTGTGACAACATGACATTTTGACAACAGTCCTGGAGGAAGGCAGTTATGACTTATTTTTGAAGAACTGAAGGTGCTACCATGTTACCATGTGCTACCAGGTCATTTAACTTTTCTGAAAAAATGAGACAACATGACATTTTGACAACAACACAGGAGGAAGGCAGTTATGACTTATTTTTGAAGAACTGAAGGTGCTACCATGTTACCATGTGCTACCAGGTCATTTAACTCATGACATTTTGACAACAACACAGGAGGAAGGCAGTTATGACTTATTTTTGAAGAACTGAAGGTGCTACCATGTTACCATGTGCTACCAGGTCATTTAACTTTTCTGAAAAAATGAGACAACATGACATTTTGACAACAACACAGGAGGATTAATGCAAAAATAAATTCAAATCATACTTTATAAAGCTTCATTTACAGGTATTTCATCGTCAGTAAATGAATCCTCATTATCGTTTGGTTCAACCTGTTTATATAATCCTTTCATTTCTTCTTTCAAAACATAACACCATGTTTGTTTACCGTCTATTCTTCTATGTTTCCTATCACATTTATCCTTAATACTCATTTGAAAGTTTTGTCTTTCATGTCTGATGGTTTGCAGAATAGAGCATTTTCACACGTCATACCTGCACACAATTCATCATAATGTGTATTTATCCATACATCTAAAGGATTTGATGATAATTCAATTAAATCTTGTTTGGCTTCAGTCATCGGTATGATTCGTACATTAAATGATGAAAGGTCATATTGCATAAAATACGTCAGTAAATTATCATAAAATTCCTTTGTGCATGAATCCATTAAATTCTTGAAGTAATCAAATTGACCCTTGAATTTACCATTAACCCTTAAAACTACATATCTTCTGTCTCCAACTTCAATTTTGACAGGGTAGACGTTGTTAGTTACGAAAATGAAGTTTGCAACGTTCTGAGCAGTTCTTCTGGGTTGATTCTTTTCATTAATTCTAATCTCATTATCCGTAATAATTGATTTCAAAGCGTTGAAGTTTGCGAGTCTGTCTTCACCAACATTCTTGAGTTCATTAAGTACAAGAAACATTTTATTCTCAACTACTGAGTTGAAATTACCCGTTAGCTCACTTATTTCAGTAATGTTTTTACATGAATAACCGGCGAGAAGTTCAGAAATAATGTCTGTGAATCTGTTTTTACCTGTTCCCTGAAGTCCTTTCAAAATAATTGCTGTTTCATTCTTGATTCCAGGATGTTGAATCATTGATGCAATCCAGCCGAGAAGGTATTTATACACTTCATCGTTATTATCACAAATGGCTTCTTTAATGAAATTCATAAACATCTCAATTTTTGAGTAATCTGGTTTTTCGAGAACGTTGTATTTATAACCCTGAAACGTTGAGAAAACATCTGGGGAATCAGATTTAAAGCAAACACCCTTAACGGTTAATGAGGATAATTGATTTAGTAGTACATCCCATGCTGTTATTGTTTTACCTTCTTCTTTAAATAATTTAATCATTTTGAGTGACTCTTTCATGTTTGATTGAAGAACGAATGATATTTGATTCATTTTGTCGTGGATATTATGTCCTTTTGAATGAAATATTTGTTTCCACAATCTACAAAACGGATTACACGTGATAAATCCTCAATTACTTCAGAACTGTTTTTATACTGATGATTTTCAGCCCTGCGTCTAATATCTGTTATCAAAAACGAGTCATCAAGTTTTATATCAAATGTTATTTTTGGCTTACGTAATAAAGGTAAAACGTATTCATCATAATATTCCTTTTGATATAGTTTTAGAATCTTCACTAAAACAAATGGAGAAGTCATTAAATATGCATATCTACTACGTGCTTTTTCAAAATTACTTTTTGCATTTTCTGTTAAATTGCAGAAGTTATAAACGTTATCGTATGCTTCATTAATTAAATGATTAGGTAACGAATTAATAGCTTGAAACAGTGTGAATAATGTTATTTCTTTTTCTAAATTCATGTTTCCACCATCATTATGTACTTCAAAATCACAGATGCCATCAACTATGCTTTGAGCTAGTTTATCGTCAATGTTTACATCTTTGTTTTCATTCATGATAGTCTTTATTTCTTCATTCTTCTGTTCAACTCTTACCTTAATATTCAAATCATTTAATATATCATTCACTGTTCTAGTTAATGTTGAATCATAACTTCCACGAATGAATGAGTATGTATTGATTGGTTCTGTTGCATTCTTGCGAACTCTTGAATCAGCCATAACCACTAAAGAACGCTTTGAATCATCAATAGAAGTCATGATATCAATATCATAATCATTGCAGGAATAACATTTAATCATTCTGTTCGAGGTTGAATAGAAGAAATTAGTGTTGCAATAAATGTGAAGACCTCCTGATGCAGTTTTAACGATAACATCTTTATCCGAAAGTTTTGATAAAATGTCTTTTCTAACTGTTTCTTTAAGTTCATCATTGTATGATTTATTGATATCAACATCTATAATCGTTAAATTTGAAATTTTATTTACTAATAAAGCTGTACCAGTTTTCCTTCCTCTTCCTCCATCATGTTTGAGGTAGTTATGTAAATCAATCATGTTTTCACCAATTCTTTCGTTGAGGGTTTTAGTTTCTGCCACAACTAATTCCTCAACTAATGAATCAATAACTTTTTCATCAGAAACGATATAGTTGCTGTTGTTGTTTGTTGCCGTCATTTATATAGAAATAAAAAAATAAAAATAATTTTAAAACTAACTTTATTTTTGGACTGCATCATATTTCCTGTGTTGTTGTCAAAATGTCATGTTGTCTCATTTTTTCAGAAAAGTTAAATGACCTGGTAGCACATGGTAACATGGTAGCACCTTCAGTTCTTCAAAAATAATCATAACTGCCTTCCTCCTGTGTTGTTGTCAAAATGTCATGTTGTCTCATTTTTTCAGAAAGTTAAATGACCTGGTAGCACATGGTAACATGGTAGCACCTTCAGTTCTTCAAAAATAAGTCATAACTGCCTTCCTCCTGTGTTGTTGTCAAAATGTCATGTTGTCTCATTTTTCAGAAAAGTTAAATGACCTGGTAGCACATGGTAACATGGTAGCACCTTCAGTTCTTCAAAAATAAGTCATAACTGCCTTCCTCCTGTGTTGTTGTCAAAATGTCATGAGGTTAGAAATGAGGTTAGATCTAACCATCTACCCTAAAAATTATTTTTGGTGAATTCAATAAAAATAAATGGTTCATTTACTCACAATATTTTTGTACAAAACGACCCCAAGCTTTTAACTTCTTTTCTGCAGCTTCTAATGCTATCTTAGCGAGTTCATATTCTCTAAATTCTCTCTTTAAATTTTCTTGTTCCCATTGGTCTAGTTCGTATGGAGAATCTCTATAACCATAACATAACTCACGTTCATGTTCTAATTGTTTTTCGCACATTTTTCCAACTTCTTCTTCAAACAAAGGTTTAGCATTCTCTACTGTATCTTCAAGTTCTTCTTCATCTAATTTCTCATGAACTTTCTTGTCTATGGAGTCCATAATATCTTTGACATAAAATGCATACTTTACAGAGCACCATTCAGCAACAAAATGAACGAGGTCAGGATGTATGTAAATACCTTTGAATTCATTTATAACACCCTTAGTAAGCTCATAAAATGCTTGTTTGAGGTCGAGCCACTTTTGGCTCCACCGTATTCATTCATCCAAAACTCAAGAATTTCCTGTATTTTAGCACTATTGAGAAATCTGTTTAAATGGTTTAACTTTCCTGCTTCTCTTGCCATCTTTGTTGCATTTATATAACCATCCTTGTCTCTACGTAAGACTTCAATACCGTTATAAGTGCCTTTTGTGAATGTTTCGCCATTAGATTTGTTAGTGAATGTTTTTGCTTCGACTGACATTTCTGTTCTTACATACAAAATAAAAGAATAAAAATAATTTTAAAACTAACTTTACTTGTTGGGTCATTTACACTCATTCCGATGAAGTCATGACAAATCATTTCCTGTGTTGTTGTCAAAATGTCATGTTGTCTCATTTTTCAGAAAGTTAAATGACCTGGTAGCACATGGTAACATGGTAGCACCTTCAGTTCTTCAAAAATAAGTCATAACTGCTTCCTCCTGTGTTGTTGTCAAAATGTCATGTTGTCAAACTTTAGAACGGCATAATTTAAATTTTTATTTTTATCATAAATGGATACCCCACAAGCTCAAAATTTACCACGAATCATAACAAGGGAGGAAATGATAAAAATGATGCAAGAACTTGCTAAAAATAACAAACCACTAAAATTGAGAAAATGCGGTTATGCAGTAATGATGGAAAGAGACGTTGTCGAAGAGGAATAAAAATTAAATTTGGATTGAGTTTAAAAATTCATCTTTATTAAATTCATCTCTTCCAATCAATTTATTTATTCTATTAAATTCTTTTATTTTTGCTTCACTCAGTTTAAGGATTGAACGGTAAGTTTCTAATTTTTCGATTATTTCTTTCCTCTCTTTATCGTTTTCAACCCCACCGCATTGCTTCTTTTTGTAATAGCATATTTTTGATTTAATTTGTTTAGTTTCTTTTTATATTCATTGTCTGGACTCTTGACTGCTTTGTTGTCACTCATTTCTTACGAAATAAAAAAATTAAATAATATTTAAATATAATGGAGTAATAAAATAAATCGGAATTTCTATTAATTTATTGTCAACTTCAACTAATGCATTGCCGTTAATATATCTAACAAATTCAGCTATTGTGTCAAATCTTCGTCTTCTTTTTGTCATTGATTTATCAGTTTTTCCATAATCGAGATGAATCAAAACTTTATCCCCTTGTTTAAAATTCATGAGCCCCGAATTAATTTGTTCACGTTTAACATCATTCAACCTTTCCATTTGCTTTCTAATATATTCCCATTCTTTTGAAATATCATTTTTCATTTCCACCGGTTTCATGTTTATTGTTCTATGCCATGTATTATTATAATAATATACTAACTGCTGTATGATGGAGTCATGATTTCCATCCCAGTATATCTGACCGTTAACCCCTAACGCATCTCTAAGAGTTCTCATTACCGCATCAACTATTTTATTATGAAACGTATATGGAGAGGATGAAAAGAAAAATTAATTTGTGGGAAATAATGAGTCATAGCTGCCTGAAATCCTTTATCACCATCACCCCTTATATTATCTACTCTTTCATGATCTAGTAAGTATTGAATAGCTCTTCTTGTTTCCTGTTCTGTTTTCCCTTTCACTGGAATGCAATATAAATATCTAGTGTTAATGTTAATGGCAAATAAATAAGTAACGTTTCCTTTTGAATATTCCAGATGATCGATTTCGTATGAATATGGATATGGAGCAAATGAAGGGCGACTAAATTTTTCCTTTAACGGTTGAATTTTTGGGTCAATTGGTTTATTTAATATCTTGAAATCCCTTTTAAAATCTTTTTGTTTCTTTAATGTTTGAAATGGATATAATAAAGTGAATGATGAAGGATTAACTGAAGGAGGAGGAGGTACTGTCGTTGGAGGTTTTGGTGTTGCAAGTGGTTTAATTTTATCTGCTTTGATTTTGGATGATGAAATTTTGGATTTCATTCCCTCCTTCATTAATTCTGGATGTATTCTATTCATTTGTTTTAAATATACTGTATATAAAGGTTTGATATACTTTCCCGCTTCGAGTTTATGTTGAAGGATGAATTCCAAAAGTTGATCTTCATTTAAAAGTCGGGCTGAATATGGTTTAACTAATGAATCATAAATTAAAGCTTGTGCTTCATTTATGGTCTGAATGACCTGGGTGTTTTGCACCTTTGTTTTTTGCGGCTCAGGATTATATAATTTATATAATTCATCAATATCTTCTTCTGTTAATACTTTATTTTTGAAATCTTTCAATTGTTTAAGTTGCGATTTAGTTTTTCCCTTTGCATATTCATTATTTTTAATTTTGTCTTTAATTTTAGAAATTATTTTATCATGATATTTCAAAATTTCATTTTTATAATATGGATAATAATAACCCATATCATCGCCCGTTATATTGTTATCATATTTTTGGAGATATGCTTTTAAATCATAATAATCAAGAAAATTTTGATTAAATACTAAATCATCAATCAATCTTTTTAAATCTGTGTTATTCATTTATATAAAAATAAAATAAATGTTTAAGGGTGCCCATCATTCAACGGTTCCTTTTGTCTCTTCTGTGGCATTTCATTAAATAAACGGCATACAACATCCATTTTCACAACATACAGCCTTAGTGTGTGCTCCTGTTAATGCAGTCTTACCGATTGTTAAGCGAGTCATCGACCCGTTTTTAAGTTGTAAATTAATATTCTGACCATCAAATATCAATTTATCATTTATTATATCCAAATATTTTTTAGGTGTTAATTGTTTATTTTGTCGTAAACTAACTCCTTTCATTTTTTGTGCAATCTTTTTAAAATCACTTCCATCAATTGAACCGTTGAATGATGTATAACACTTAGGACATAAAGCAACCATGTTATCACCTTGTTTCTCAATTGCTAAACCCAATAACTTCTTCTCATGTGCTTTTTCTTCAGCTTTATTCTTTAATTTAGGTTTAAATTTCTCATCAAAACAAAAGAAATCAAAAGGTGCGAATTTGTAAATGTTTTTATCATAAAATTGTTTATCAGTAACAATTGCTTGAAATGCTTGAGTGTTAGGAAGATTTGGGTCGCCAGCGATTGCCCAATAAGATGAATCAGTATCACCTTCAATGAAATGAAAACGATTAACATTCATGCATTTATACATAAAATCATAAATGAAAACCAAATACCAGTATTTAGCATTATCTAAAGTGAAGAATGCCTCTTGTAAACATGTATCACATCTATAAAATCTATCTTTAAGCATCACTTGATATGTATCCTCTCCTATTTCTCTTATGTTTTTAAACTTATTTGACATACATGCAACGCGTGCCTTCTGTGCATTCATTATTTTAGTCTTTGCGTAATTTTGTGTATTCATTGCATCGTAACCATATGATCCATTAAGTGAAATCTTGCAAAATAAACTTTTTCCTTTATTTCCTTCTAATTCAGCCTTTTGTCTTTCGTTCATAAATTCGTTCGCAAATTCATTAAAGCAAGTGTTTTTAGTAAATGTTAAAATTGATTGAATATCATCAATGATAAAATGAAATCTGTCTATTAGATACCAAAGATAATAAGAAGAAAATGGTTGATATTGGTTGTGTGTTGATGCTAACTGAGTTAATTTCTCTGTTTCTGGTCAACTGGTAGATTGTTTGATTTCATGTAATTATACATAAAACTGCCAATTGTTTTTTCATCTGTGATAATATCTAAGTTTCTTATTATCGGTAAAAAGTTTATGTAATCATTAATGTATTTTTCATCAATGTGACCCTTTACTTCAGCCACGAATAAAGTATTTTTCTTCTAATAATTCCCAGTGCTTTTGCTTTCTTTGTTGCTGTATCACAAATGATAACACCATTCAATCTTCCCGCATATACATTTTATGGTCAGTATATTGAATGAAATCATGAGGATTAGATGAAAATGATGAAGGATATAATGAATTAAAGTCAACACCAACGAAATGAGTCATAATGTTGGTGGTGTCCTCATTTGATACAGTTTTAGTTTCTGGATTATATGAAAGTTTATTAATGTGCGTGATTCCTTTAAGATTAACACGATGTTGAACATTTGATAAACCACCAGTAATTCCATTACGGAGAATGTGATAAGCTTCAACTGAATCTAAAGTCATTGGTAAATTATTTTTTAATGCATAATTTCTTAAATTGATTCTTAAACGTTGAACATCTTCATCTTTATTTGATTTTACGACATTGCAATAACAACACATTAACTGACAATTTTCTTTGGTATGTGGTTTTTCATTATCGATTCTATCTAATGTTGGTTTATTTGCATATGTAAACGCTTTACCACACATTTTGCATTTAGATGAAAGGATTAAATCGTGATAGTATTGAAAATCATCCATTGAAACATTATTTTTAGTATCCCTTTCTGCTTTTTCATCTTGTTTCTTATATGATTCAATTTTATATTTCCAATACTTTTTCGTTAATTCAAAACTTGATTCTATCTCTTCCTCAGGATATTTTTCATTAGGATTAAAGTCTTTATATGCTAAAGCGTAACGAATCATTGAAGCATTCGATGATAAAGAAAGATTATGAAGCATGTCAATTTTATAAACAAATGTTTCTTCAATAATTTTATCAATTGGGTCAATCATAATTTCAACATCTTTATTGCAATAATGAATAAAATATTCTAATCTATTCTTAAAATTTTTAGCATCATTGAGATATATTTGATAATCACTATCTGATATAGTTTCTTGGGTTAATGCTGAATAAAATGAATCTTGAGTGAATGGTTCCACTTTATATAATTCTTCTTCGTAATTTCCCATGTGATGAATTGATAAGGGAAAAAGGATTTAACACGTGATTTATTGTTTCCGAAATCTTGAGTGAATTGGTCTAATGTCCCACCCGCTATATAATTTCTGATGTCAATAAATCTCAATTCATATGGAACGTTTGTTTTCTTTACAATGATTTGCTTAAATTGTGAAGATGAACCCAGCATTGATTTTATTTTCCATTTTGCAGTGTTTAAATCACGAAGAATTAAATTTAAATCAAACTTTCCCGAATTAAAACCTATGATATTCACTTTATTGAATTCCTCATCTAGAAGTTCTTTAAATGCTTCCTTCTGTTTTTCATTTAATGTATGAGACAAAGTCCCCGCCGTTTGGTCCGTTTGCGACTTCATTAATTCTTCATATTGTTCAATATTTGATTTAGCAACTAATGAACAGGTTGAAAATAAAAACTCAATCCAATCAGAAATAAAAGAATCACTGAAGTTAAGCAAAAATTCCTCGTATATGTTTTATCACGGTCTACGACCTCGCCGCTTTGCGGCTTTAATTTAACCGTTGATGATACCATGAATGGTTTTAAGTAAGCGTTCAAAGTTGCACACTCAGAAAGTTGTAATTCTTCTTTAGTCTCTAATGTTTCGAAGTCAAAAGTAATATAATATCTTGTCGGTTGATAATATTCCTGCAAATTGTGAGCTAATAACCACTGATATATCTTCTGTTTCGTAATATGTGGTGTATATGGTTGTTGTGTGTTTTGCAATTGAACGTCTTGAATTAATCTTCCATTATTTTCTTTACATTTCTCACAATGTTTTAAAAATCTTCTTTGGTTTTTCCTTTCTGGATCATCACGGATAGAATATACTTCTTCTTTGCAAAAGGGGCAAACTTTATATCCTGTGAGTGCTTCAACGTCTGTAATTCTGTCAGCGTGAAGTTTTCCACATGGACTCTGTGTTAATAAAATATTTACTGTTTCAAATTCTGGATCTATCATTATTGATTCCACTAATGGAAAGTCTACCTTGTTAATGTCTACGTCTTCTGGTTGAGGGTCACAATAATAAAAATCAATATTAACGTTTAACATTCTTGCTAACCTCTCACTTTCTGATGAAATGTCAAATCCTTCATATGCATCTATGGCTTCATTTAAATAACTTCTACGAGTTTTAGGATTAACACCATCAGGAATGTTATAGAAGCGTTTAAATAACCTTCTACCTTCGGCTCTTATTTGATTATCATTCATTTTAGCTGTTCCATTTTTGTTCATTTATGTAAGAATAAAAATTAAAAAATAAATAAAAATAAAGTTTATTTTTTTTAAAGTCCGAGACTCAGAGAGTCCAGGGCTAAAGTCCATAAAATGAATTAAGAACACATAAATTTTTATCATCTGCGACGTGACGAATACATTTTAATTTACTCAAGAATGCGTACCCTGATACATTAAATCTAATTCCTGTCTTATTTAATTTCACAACTTTGAAAAGGAATGTATGAATAGCTATAAAATGATGAGATGATGTTTTATGGGTTGCTTCCATTTTTTCTGAAATAAATGAATAAATATAATGTTTATAAGTTTTCATATCTTTTATGTTCTTAATAACGAATGGTATAGACCTTTCAACTTCGTCTTCCTTCGGTGCTGTTCTTTCATATGAAACATTATTGGTATCTTCAATAATGAAACCACAATCGCATAAAATTTTATATTCCAATTGTTTCTTTTGATATTTTATCTAACAAATCAAAAACTTTATCAACACCTGTACATTTATTTAAATAATAATTTGTGTAAATATCATGGTCTTCTTTCTTAATCGTATTTGTTGCATATGTACATTTTTCATGCTTTTTTGAATTTTTCAGAATCAAGAGGAGGTGAAAGTAATATACATGGATAATCTCCATCGTCAATAAACTGAAGCTTATGTTTATGAATAAATTTTGTGCCTTCTTCTGAAGTGTTTCGTCAATATACATCTAATAAATTTTTAGTAGATTCCAAAAAGTAATTTTTATATCTTTCCTCATGTGATTTTTGAACTTCTGATTCTGAAGCTGGGATATTCATTAAACCCTCTACTTCATTCTCAGCATTTCTCAATTCCTTAATTCTTTCATCTATTTCATTTCTTAATTGTTCCAATTTCTCATCTCATCGTTATAATATTCATCTTGTTTAATTTTTTCTTCAAAATATTCAGGAGGTGTTTCAAGGCTCTCTGAGCCCAGGTCCTCTGGCCATAAAGAGGAATATTCTTCTGTTTTTCAATTTTTTGGGATATAAATATCCATTATAGCCTTTTTAGTATTGGCCCGTTATATTTAAATTCATTCAACAATCTGGAAAACTCTTTCACATTCTGCATATATGTTGGATAAGAACCGTCTCCAAATTTTCTAAAATATTTTCTAATTCTGAATTAGTGAACTTTAAAGATTTCAATGAATTAGTTGTTATACTCATTTATTATAAAATAAAAATAAAAAATAAATTTAACTTAGTTTTAATTTTACGTAAGAAGTCAATTTTTTATATACCGTCATTTGTAGGTATTATTTCTATCAGATAAAAATTATTTTTTTATTTAAAAAATATAATTTATTTTATTTTTTAAAATATCATCGGTGATATTTTGGAATCACATGTTCAGGCTTCAAATAATTTTCAATAAGAAATTTAACAAAATCTTTATATAAAGTCTTTTTTTCATTTAGTCTGTGAAATTCGTCACATACATCATCTAAGTATATTTCTACTATGCACGGAAATTTAATCTTTCCGACCTTTATAATAGGTTTTATATTTTGCAAGAATATATTCTTTGACTCCGGTATATAATCGTTTTTTCTACAAAATTTTATATATTCTTCATATGTATCCCTTTCCTTTATTTTAAGTTCTACATGTAGTCCATACACGTTTGGGCAATAATAGATATCAAATGAAAAATTTTCTATTTGTCATCTTTATATAAAGATAAAAAATATTTTTGATTAATAAGGAATTAATTTCATTTTATGTCTTATAATGTGCGCATATGTATTTAAAAGGCATTCATTGAATTGCTTTTCAATCTCTTTCTTTTTTTCATCTTCGAATATTATATCATTTTCATGTTCGAAGCTTGTAAGTTTGTTATCTTCAAATATTATATTAGTTTCATATATCAAATTATGATATCGGTCATATTCTTTTAAGTGATAAATAAATGTTTTATGTATTCAGGATTAAGAATTCTATAATATTGCTTCCCTTTAAATCTTTGAATATAAACAGGAACACCATCCTCTAAAATTCGATAATCTATTTTATCTGGTTTTACTTGTTGGGTCATTTATGTAAGAATAAAAAAAATAAATTATTTTAAAATTAATGTTAAAAATAATGATACAAAATCGTTCAATATTGTATGAATTCTTACGTTTACAAAAAAAGTCACATAACCCATCATACCCTACTACTCATAATCAATATTTAATTTGGATGTCATTTCGCCAAAACTATACAGCAATTCATGATTAAAAGTGAATCATCTGAAGGCGATGCTTCTATTTCTTAAAAAAAAGAGTGGGTTCGTAGATTATTATTTTGAAATCTAAGCGATGCGATATTTCTTAATCAAATCAGAACCTATTAATATATGTTTAACACAAATCTCAAATGGATATTGTTTATTTTTAAGACAATTATTTGAACTTCAATAGATATTATTTTTTTAATATTCTCCATTCTGTTTTTTCTCCCAAAAAGTATTTTTTCACAGAACCCCTTGCAACATCAAGAGCAGTCTTTCTATTTTTATCCTTTGCTTCTTTATCAGCTCAAACAGAGATAAGATATTTAACAATTTCAAGATGACCAAACAATGATGCATTAATGAGTGGAGTATATCCATCATTATTCTTTGCTTCTTTATCAGCTCCAACTGAGATAAGATATTCAACAACTTCAAGATGACCAAACAATGATGCATTAATGAGTGGAGTCCATCCATTTACATCCTTTGCTTCTTTATCAGCCCCAACAAAGATAAGATAATTAACAACTTCAAGATGACCTTTTGTAGATGCATAAATGAGTGGCTGATCTAAAGATTCTACTTGTTTATAATCACCATTCTCTATAAGAGATTTAATACGTTCGAGATTTCCTTCTTCGCATGCTTTAGTAAGGGGATTTGAAAACATTAAAATTTTTGACTAATCAAAAAAAATTGACTAATATTCCTTCAGAAGTTGTAACTTATATTCAATTCTTTCACAACCACTTGTTTTACATTTAATGTATGTAAACACATGAATCTCAGTGTTCGTGCTAGGCCTGGACAAAATCGATAAAACATTACCGTGCGGAAGTGCAGGGTCAAAAAAATCATATTTAATATGCCCTTTTCCTTTTCCTTCTTTTTTTTCTCTCCCTCCTTCTTTTTCTCTCCCTCTTCTTTTCCTTTTTCTTATTTCCTTCTCTTTCTTCATTATTTTTGTTTGTCGAAGATCTTCAAAATTGATTATGAGAAAAGCATCAATTTCAGATAATGGATGCCTTTCTCACAGTCAGTATACGAGGATCCCTGTTGGAACGCTCTCATAAAGCCTGAGATGGCTCTTCTCTGTGAATTTATGTATTATATGCTGGGCATGAAGTCATTGTTGACGGTATCTGTCTTTATAAATGTAAACTTTCTGGTGTATAGATACATATTATCATTTAACAAAGTTCTTCCGAAGGACTCGTAACAGCTTTGCATATTGACGCAACAAGCACATTACTTTGCATAAACACTTTGCAAAGTTGTGTAGAAAGTTCGATTAGAGCTGTTTTGCTGTGTGATCCCTCATCAGATAATGAGAGAAATCATAGCCCACTTGTATGTAGGCTATTAGTTCGATTGAAGCTGCATCACTATGAGATCTCTCATCAGCTGATGAGAGAGATCAGAACAAAGCAGCTCCACTGTATATACTCGTATTGATTGAGTTGTTGTGAGTTGTATTGTTTGCTTGTAGTTAGATTGGAGTTGTTTCACTACGAGATCAGAATAATGCGGGAGACTAATTAAGAATAGAGGCAACATTGTTACGTATAATAGCTACCTAATGAAGAGAAGAATACAAATCTTCAGGTAGTTACTTACATTTCAGGCATAGAGAGCGGGAGAAAAGAGATAAGTACCCAAAGGAAAAAAAAGAAAAGGGTGAAAAATAAGCTATACAATTTTTGAATGGTCTAACTTCTTCTTGGTATTTTGCAAGAACGGACGTTAGTTTTTCTTTTATTTTTAAAGGATATATTCTACATATGTTCTGCTTTATTATATCTTTTTTCTAGCCATTTTTAAAAAATTGAGACGTTTCCCGGCCTTTTTAAAATTTACACTTTTATTGCGTTTTTATACAGGCGTGAAGCCTGTTAAAAATGCAATAAAAGTGTAATTATCATACTAATGATTATTTTTGATTCTAATGCCGAACAGCATTTGAATCAAAAATAATCGTATGTTTGATAATTTTAATTTTTTTTCACTTTTCAATTTTTTTCCCCACAATTTGAAAAATACAGAATATAATTCGAAGCGATATTGGGCAAAAATAATTAAGGCAATATCAGATATCGTAGCTTTGAAGTGCTATGTTATAGTTTGAAACGATATTATCATTTTTTTCACTTATTTATTAAGATGGAGTTGAAACAAATCAATATTTTTCATTTCTTAAATGCATAATGCTATTTTATAAAAAATCAATAGCCTATTTTCGATAAGAATATTTCTGAAATTGAAATACAATAGCATCGAATTTTCAAGTTTAAGGTCTCAGTAAGCTCCAGTTTTAAGGAAACGGATACTTTAAAATTTAAGAAATAAAAACATATATTATAACACTTACAGAAGAAAAGACTGCAGAAACATTTTAATCCACTGCAAGATACAAATATGTAATATGTTCATTATTTAAATATGTAAAATACATCCTTTTTTATTTAGCATCAGCAATTCTCTGTTTGATGAAAGTAGCAAACTTTCCAGGAACATCTTCAATACCTCTGAAGCATGGGAAGTAGTTAAAATCGACCAAACAAAGCTTTCCATCAGATTCTCTTCTGAGAAGATCGTATCCGATGAGTTGAACTCCTGTCATCTTTCTGAGAGCTTCGCTTGAGGCTTTGAGTTCTTCTGAAGATGGTTCGTATGAAGCAGCGTCATCCGGAACTGCTCCAGCATCGATTTCTGTTGGAAGTGGCTTTTGGGAATCGAATACGACTTTGTCTTGTGTCTTAAGAACGAGAGACTTGGACTTGTGCATAACAAAATTCTCTCCAAGGCTGTAGCACTTGAAAACAACGCCATGATGAGGGATAAATGGAAATGCAAGCATTGGATATGGATTTCCAACAGCACGAAGCTGCTCTTCGTTATGAATGACTTGAATTGAGTGACTGTTTGATGTTCCACAGGCGGCAACAGGCTTCAAGAGAATTGGATAATGGAGGCCAACGTTCTCTGGCTTGAAGTTGTCATCAACTGGGTAACCTTTGATATACTCTACACAGTCTGGTAATGGATTATGCTCGATGAAGTTTTGAAGTGCAAGACGATCAACGAAAACACGAATGTTATCGATTGGTTCGATTACAACGAATCCTGGGCGATTCTTAGCATATTCTTGGATTTTGGCAACATCAGCTTCATGGCCATCGACAAGCTGATATGTGAATTTATGAATAATTGCATCAAATGAGGATAAATCGTCACCTAATTCAACTGGAACAAGCTCAATTCCATGCTTTTCTGGTGTGACTTGATTAAGGTTCATTCTTTCCCATTTGAATGCGGGCATGAATACACCAACACGAAGCAACTTCGACATTTTACAGCAATGAAAAATTTCTGACGGCCAATTAAGTTCTCAAGTTCCATCGGAAATTTTATTATTCACCTGATTATCAAATAATTGATTTCCACAATTTTTTAATGGTGCACTTACGCCCCTATGACACGGCCTTCAATTCAGGTGTTTAAGGTTAAATTTCAATGACGCTTCACGCCAGTTGTCAGAAATTTGAATTAAAGTCAGATGGGCGTAAGTGCAGCCTTAAACTTCGAGAAAAAATGAGTAACTATTCAATTTTGAATAGTTTACATTATGTCCTAATGGAAGCGAGGGAATATAATGAAAGATGGTTTGTATTTTCATATACCTAGTATATGACCATACTATAATCTAGCGCATTGTTCTTGCTGAATTTTCATAAGTTCGAGATAAAATTGAAAATTCTTTTTAAGGGTCCACTGTAAGGCCAAATAAGACCTATCGTCGTTCCACAAATAGTGGTCGAGATGGTGTTTTACTAAGGCACAAAACTAAAAAAAACTTTGCTTAATCTAAATCTCTGTCAGATGTGAAGCAATTTTATGCAGTATCACATTCTAAAACTAATTTTTTAACGAAAATATACTCTAATGTCCTTGAATAAATGCAAATTTTTATAAATTATGCATGTCATCTCTATATCATACACAACACAAAATTTTTGGGTGTATCTACCATCCCAGGGATGCAAAAGTCACATCACCTTGGATCTATAATCCCGAATTGCCAAGCTTGGCAATTCTTAAATATGGGGAAAATATAATTTTTATTGTCATTTAGTGAATTTTGGGAAAAATTTGGAGAATTTTGCAATATTTTTGATTAAATAAGGCGAATAGAATGCTATATTTTAGTTTTTACACATTTTTGTAATAAAATGGAGATATTATTGTGAATTTTTTATAATTTTGATATAAGAAATAGCTTCGTTTGACATTTTTATTGATGGATTTATGCTTTTGGTGATGCATTATGTTAGAGTATGACTACAGATACTCAATGTAATTTTTTTAAAATAACGTACAATTCCCAAGGCAATTTCGGTTTTGGCAATTCTTTTTCGCAGTGATTTGAGTGAATTGCCAAACCTTAAACTTTCTTGGCAATTGTACGTTATTGCAAATTGCGAATTGTCATAAGCTTCAAGAAAGCTGAAATAATACAATAAAAACATATTTAAATTGCATATATAGACAAAGATTAGTCACTTATTAATAAAATAAAAGTTTTATTTCTAAAAGATTTGTTTAATCAGCAGGAATCTCAGCCCAAACTATTTTTGATGTCTAAACTGGCCAATTTACAAGAATTATCCTGAAAATTTGTGATTACTTTGGAATAATATCGTCCAAAAGTATTATTTTAATACGTTTTCTTTGGAATATGATGTATTTGTTGAATTGATACCCAAATATACCCGAATTAAAAGAATTTTATGGTCTTTAATTTATTCTAATTTTTTTGTAATTCTAATTGCTTTCACATATAATTTAGCAGAGAAATCGCATCGAAATACTCAATGAGTGGATAATATTGAACAAAAGAGTTTAATTACAAAAAAAATTAGAATAAATTAAAGAAAAAGTAGAAAAAAGAGGCCTTAAAATCAAGCCTCCTGTAAATATGATATGTGATCATTATTTGGCGAAATTAGCGTCCGAAGTCTGCATCCTTAATCTATTTTTCAAAACACGGTTCCCACAGCGAAAAAAAAATCAAAAAAAATCAAGTTTTTAGCAAACTCGCTGATTTTGCAAATATTGGCTGATTTGAAATGATAGTATATATTATTATCTTATTTAAAGATATGTTTCATTGTTACATTCACATAATATTAATCAGAACGCTAGAAAAAGTGAATTTTGGAAAAAAAGACGATAACGATTATTTGCAAATCGCCTCTCAATTTTCAGAGACTTTCAATTTTTACAGTGGACTCTTAAATTCTTATTCGAAAAACAATTTTTTCATCGATATTATCTATAGAAAGCTATTGCTCACTAATATTTCAAAGATCAAAACATATTGATTAAATAAAAATGAATTTCTCCTTTTTCTTCATTTTATTTTTACTTATTTTGTATTTTAATTTCTTTGTGCAAAATAATTAACTCTCTGTTCGAATAATTTTTTAAAATATTTTTCCAATTAAGTTTATTTTTACTTTTGAGAAGAATAGAAACATTATTTTTGAATTTTGAAACTATAAAAATGCTCACATTTTAATGTAGATTCTAAAAACCGGAACATTATACATAATCCTTTGAAAAACCTCGATTTTAAAATGATAGTCCAAAATATTCACCTAATGATGTGGGATTTCATTTTTTGTTGTTGTTGCATGGGCCATATTGTTAACCCAAAACGGAAATTAAAGGCAATGCATAACATTTTACTCCACAAACGTCGTCGACTCTCAGCGCGACAGATTCTTGGTGCTTGAATAATGGCCGGAAGTGCTGGAACTCGAATCATCTGGAAGCAATTAAAGAAATTCAATATCTTGAAAGATGTTAAAGAGATTATTAAAGACAGAGATAACAAAAGTGTCTCTGTCTTTAAAGAATTTGGCGTCTCTCATCTTGAAAGATTCGATCCAGGTCATGTATCAAAAATATCACAAAAGATTTTACAAAGTTCTCAGCTTCTGACAAGTCAGTTAAAGTTTTCAGCGACGAGACTCACAAATACAAATGCTTTGAATGGCAAAAATGTGTCAACTCGATCCAACTTCAATTCATGCTCTATGATTGGGTTCACAAATGGAAACCCATAGTTTCCAAAGTTTCTTCCATCGGCTTTACCTGCATGAATGAAGCGTTTAACTCCAAAATTGCATGTTATATGGACAAATCAAGAGCCTGGAAGAACATTAACATCAGAGTTATCATTGCAATCTTAGAATGGAATGATCCAGAGCATTTTCTCAAAGATATCCAAAAAGCATTACATCTTTCCCCACTTGCAGATGATTGTGTGAAATCATTTGAAGAGAAACGTTACTCCAAAATGATATTGAAACAACACACATTTACAAAAGGATCTAAAAAGCAGAACAAGTACAAGAAATCCATTTAGAGTGTACCAGGGGAAATTATCAAGTATGAATGAGAGTCAGAAGACGAAGATAATGATGATTTTGAATTAGCAAAATTGCATTTTATTTATTATTTATTATTTATTATTTTTTTCATTTTTATTAAATTATTATTATACTCATATTCTTATTTTGTTTTTTCTCATTATGATATAGTTGAGAAATTTTTAAGGACGGTGGTTTTCATTGAAAATAATTGAATGCAACCTTTCAAAATAAAAAGTAGCTTTAAGGATGGGCACTCATAGGCTCCTGACAGCATAAAAATGCTATTATCTCACAATATAAAAGGAATCATAGGAATCTACAACTATATCTATATTGTTGGAAGACTTCTTAATGTATCATGCATATAAGTTATATCAATAACTCCATTATGTTATATGATTGTAATCATATTTTCGTTTCATGTTCAAAAACATTAAAATCATACTAACTATATGAGTATTATATTTAGGAAGCTGATATATAGATATGATAAAATGCTAGGTTTTGTGATTAAGAATATATACTTATCTTTTAGAAAATAATACTTTTATAAAAATTATATCTTATATAATCTAAAAATTTTGGACAATTAAAAAACATTAATTAAAAATAGAAGGTGAAAGTGTTTATTCAAAGAAGGTGCAAGATTATGATGTTTTGAGGGTGAAATAAATTTAATAATTATTTATGTCATCGGCTTTGATTTTTTGAATGCTTTGATTAAATCTTTTGTTGTATCATACATTCTGAAATATCTGTTCATCATTTCTGGCATTGTTGGTAAATTTAACCTGTATCTTATTGCTACAATCGTTTCAAACATACTTTCATTGAAATGCAATATTGTGACTGCTATCCTAATTGGCCAAGAAGCATGCCAATTAATATTTTTATTAGCAAGCATTGCTTTGATATGGTTTATCGATTCAACTACTTGAGTTGAATGAATCTTTTTTACCATATCAAAGATTTTTACGGTATCTTCGAGGAATTTTTTAAGTGTTTTTATAGCAGTTTTATTTTTTGCATATTTCCATGGTTTAATCATCTTGCATTTTTCAGGATCTGGACAAAATTTATGATTTCCGGCATAATGTTTAGCGGAATTCAACCATAAAAACTTCTTTGTTTTAATTGACATATGTGTGTCATTGAGAAGTTGCCTAAGCCAACGCAATAAATTCTTTGAAATGCTAGATAAGATTCTGAATTCTGGCAGTTTGAGCTTTTTCTGTATATTGTTAAGAAAATGTCCAGGATCTCTGTATTCTCTGATACCTTTGAACGTATTTTTGATTGTAGAAACAATTTTGACATCGCCATCATGCACAAAAAATTTACGCGTTTTTCATTATTCCAACGCTTCAGCATTCTTTTTAAGCCTTCAAATTCCATTTCATTTGATTTTCCGATGAAATTACCTTTGAAATTTTTAAAAGATTTAGATATCACTTCCCAATCTACAATTTTTTTGAGTTTCTCTTCTACAAATTGTACATAGCAAAACATTGCATTTCTTCTCTGACTCCAAGAACCGTCAAACAAAAGTCCCGAACATTTTCTCATTCGAGATTTCCAATAATTAACAGATTCTCTGGCAACTTCTATGATACCACGACCAACCTTTTCTTGGACTCGATGAAATGTAGCTTATGACGGAACTTTGATGTTATTCAGCATGAATTGAAATTCTGATTGGCAAAATGTAGCGCCGCTCAATAATACAGATAGCACAAATTCAACAGTGTTGACGACATATGGCTCTACCCTATTTTTCGCGCTTTGAACTAAGTTCTTTATGAAACAATAAGAATTACCGAAAAAGTGACAAAACATCAAAAACAGGGAGGGAGTCTCAATTTTTATTACTTATATTATTTAACAATATTTATATAAATACTCTTTATAATATATTTTACTATAAAATTATACCTCAAATTCAAATATTTAAAATATTATTTACATAATTATCTCAAAATTATATTTTTATATATTATTTTTCATATGTATAAATCATATAATCTATATCTATGCAAATCTGAGATATAAAAATTGCTCACATTTTGGCACTTTTTTGTACGTTTGTCAAAAAAATTGTGAGGAAGATCTCACAAAAATAGTCAAAATGTGAGCAAATTTTGAGAAGTGCTCACATTTTGACATACGATTATTTTCATACGTTTTTTTGATGAATTCTAATAAAACTTCATTACCACTTTCAGAACGAAGCGTAACTTTTCAGCACGTAACGCTCTATCATGTGTAGTGACATATTATTCAAAAAAACTCAGATTGCTTATCTTATAATAACAATTTCATTAGAAAAAATGCACGATTTCACGCTAAAACTTTGAAGCAATTCTTAAATTCGGATAAAAAATCGATATGTATTACACTTTAAACTTCAAAAAATGGTTCAAAATTTAGACTTAGTTTATCTTAACAATATAGCAGATTTTAAGCCGAACAAGTAGGAGTAATAGAAATAGCCCTTGAAAATAATTACAATTAGTAATATGTAAGTCAAAGTTCGAGTATTCTAATAAATAAACGTTCCGGATTTTCTTTACTACAAGAATCAATACTTAATATATAGAAGCAACAGTAAAAACTTATTAGAGATTCAAAAAGAAAGTTGACTAAAGAGAATCTTTTTATATAAGTAATTTTATTTTTTTGAAATACGAGATCGAATAAACATGTATTTTATTTTATTACTATAATAATACGTTTTTACATAGTAAGAAAGTTTAGAGACTGAAATGAAATTAAAAATTGAGAAAAAATAAAGTTTTTCTATAAAAATTCATATTAATATTTATTTGATTGAGTTAAAGTTATCCAATTTATTTGGTTCAGTTTAAAATTATTTGTATTTAAAATATTTTAGAAATATTTACAATAATATTCATATAATTTTCGATTAAATCGTTGCAGAAAGTAAAATGATATAATTTGCTATATTTAGAATTTAAGAAATTTTAAATGGTGAAAAAAATAGAAAAAATATGAAAAAATAGACAAAATATTGGAGACTTCTAATTAAGAATGAAAGACTTGTCATTATTCTGGAATTCATAGCATGAAGATATTGTAAGGTACATTATGTATATATATACATCTTTTCATCAAATAATCTTCAATCTACTTATAAAAAATATTAAAAAAATCATAAAAATGTTTATTATAATAACGATAAAGTTGAATAGAAATCAATGTTACATATTATTGAAATAAATCATCTTCGGCAATTTCAATGTTTTCTATCTTTTCATTTTTTGTTTCTTCTAAATTTATTTGAATGTCATCAAGTATTTGATCACTTGACATATACCTTTCAATTTCAATATCTCTGAAATCAATTCCAGAATGTTTGGACAAATCCTTATATTTTTTCATTATATCCTCAGGAATTAATGATATTTCCAGACCAAAATGCTCTTCAAATAACTGAATCTCTTCATTTATTTTTTTCAATTTAATGAAATACGACTGTTTATGATCACTTGTGTTTTTATCTGCCCGTGCATATCGATGCAAAATCGCTAAATCCACTTTCATTAAAGGAAACAATAAGAATTACCGAAAAAGTGACAAAACATCAAAAACAGGGAGGGGGTCTCAATTTTTATTACTTATATTATTTTACAATATTTATATAAATACTCTTTATAATATATTTTACTATAAAATTATACTCAAATTCAAATATTTAAAATATTATTTACATAATTATCTCAAAATTATATTTTTATATATTATTTTTCATATGTATAAATCATATAATCTATATCTATGCAAATCTCATCTAAAATTTTTTGAAACAAACCGCTACCATTTATAATGGTCCATCTTAAATTCATCATAAATTCTGGTACATGTTAGTACCAGAGTCTTCAAATCTCAAACACTCTGGTACCAACATGTACCAGACGCGAGTTTCCAATGCCCTCGTACGATTTTCTATTAAGATCTTCTTGAATGAGAAGGTCTTCATAGAAACTCGTACGAGGGCTTCTCTTTTAAATACTCTGGTACCTGCTGGTATCGGAGTCGACTTTACAGCCCTTTCCCCAATTTTGAAGCTGGGGAAAGTTTTCAAGCAATGAAAGGGAAGCTCTCGCTATGAGGTGAAAATCTAGAATTTTTACCTCATAGCGAGTAATCCTTTGTTAATTGCTTGAAAACTTTCTTCAAATTATCAAAATTTCGAGGAAAGTTTCCTTGCTTCAAAGTAGAGATGGAGCCCTTTGAGCCACTGCATATAGGTCAGTGACTCAAAATACTCCATCTCTACTAGAAATCGCCAAAATTTGGGTCGCAATCTTTGAAATGCGACGCAAGTTTTGGCAATTTCGCGAGGGACTTGCTCCATTTGGTGCATAGATTCACACTCTATGCACCAGATGGAACAATTCTTTCGCTGACAGCGGGAAACTTTGTCTGAATAGTTTAACATTCAGACAAAGTTTTCCGCTGTCAGAGAGGGAATGGAAGGGTAAGAGGTATATATTCATAATGTATACCTCTTACTCTTCCATTCCCTCAAGAAAGTTCAAAAACTTGGGTGCAATCAGAACTGATTGCACCCAAGTTTTTGAACTTTATATAAGGAATTGTTGGCTATGATGTACTGATCATGAATCAGTACATCATAGCCAACAATTCCTTCGCAAACAGTGGGAAACTTTGTCTGAATAGTTTAACATTCAGACAAAATTCCCGCTGTCAGGGAGGGAATTAGAGGGTGGGAGATATATAGATAGACTATAAATCTCTCACCCTTTAATTCCCTCAAGAAAGTTCAAAAACTTGGGTGCAATCAGAACTGATTGCACCCAAGTTTTTGAATTTTGTATAAGGAATTGTTGGCTATGATGTGGATAGCCGCTGCCAGACCAAATGAATTAACCGTTGTGAATAACGTTTCTGAATCTTTATTTAAAAAGATAAAATATCACGATTTTGGCTGCGTTAAAAATCAAAGAATTGATATTTTTGTCAAAAATCTTTTAGAAGAAGTTGCACCCAATTACTTTTATCGAATTAAAAACGATTTACTTCAAACAGGTTTTATTCCTTCAATTAGAATTCGCGAGCCTCGATTGACAGATTATAAAACAAAATTGAAAAGAGAAGTTCAATCACGTTTATACCAAGTATTAAATTTTGTTCAGAATCAAGAAGCCAATTTGAATCCATTAAGATTTTTATTGGAAAATGCTGAAGAAAAACTTTCTCAAATAAATGAGAAGATACAAAATTCAATTACATATTTAAGATCGTTTGAAATTCCAAATGAATTGTTAGATACGTATATGTTAGAAATTAATGAATTTTGTTATAATTCTCCAGATTATATTTTAGAACATTTCGAAGAATTTTTAGAGGATTTCAAAGAAAAGAATAATTTAATAGACTAAAAAATTTATTATTTTTATTTATTGTGAATTTTAAATTGTCACTTTTTAAGTGTTACTCCCTATTGAAAGTGTCACTTTTTGGGTGTCACTTTTTCGGAAATTCTTATATACTCTTCATTAAAGTGTGTACCGTCTTTAAAATTGTGGGATGTGAATATACAATATTTGTATTTAACACTTTGTTGTACGATTCTACGCCATTATTAGAATAAATATTGTCGAATACTTTGAGCTTGCTGATTGAATTATAGCTTGTGCTCCATGTTTTAATAAAGTATTTTGCAAATTCATTTGTATCTTGAATGCATTTAATTTTATTGCAAACCAAATCAAAAACTTCTTCTGGCATGAATGGAGAAGCGCATAATAACTTTAAAAGAATTTTATTGTTAAGATCTTCTGGATCACATTTTTTCTTGAAATTCTTAACTAATGCTGCAATAAAGTGATATATGCATCCAGTCAATATGGTTTGCTCTCCTTTTCTTTTATAAATTGAGCCTTGAAGTGCTTTTTCGAAATCAGTTGTTATAACATCAAATGTTGATAAAGGAATTTTAATATCAGTATCATACTCCATAATACTAAATACTCTTTGATAATCAGTTTCTGTTCTTCCCGTCATGATTATATGTAAAAACGGTAGATACAGTTGAGTTGCTTGGTCAAAAATTAACAAATTTAATAATTGGCCATTCATTATTGATACAGGAACGACTTTGAAGGTTCCATCAATAAAACAATGTGATGAATACCGTGCAACTCGAATGAAACGTTCCAATCCAAAAAAATAATAGGCATTATCATTTTTGTGCTTTGGGTAATAAAATATGATCTTTGATTAAAAAATTCTAACATTTCATTAATAAGATCAATCTCTGATTTTGATTTGACAGGATGAACTTCATAATACAGCTGTTGGACTTTCTTCTCTGATATCTGAATGAAATTAGTAGACTGGGCTTGATTACAGTCATATATCAGTTGATTTGCATACTTTCTTGTTTCTGATATTGTTGCGGTTGGATTTTTGACAACATAATCTTGAACTTGAGATTCAATATCATAGTTCATTGGATTTGTTCCTTTAATTATTTGAGATTGTTTTGCAGGTCGGCAGTTATGAAGTTTACTGTCTGGTTTTTCTTCAGGAGAAATATTTAATTTCTCATCAAAGACTTTTACATGCATACAAAAGTTGCATCTAGGTTTATATCCGCAATAATAAATAATTTCTAAATAATTATTATGAGCATTGTAACGTTGAAATCTCAAAGGATGACCATTTGTATATATGGTTAATGAATATTTAATACGTGCGGATTGGGAAATTGAAAATGTATGATAAGTCCTCAGAATATTTTTGATTCTTTTTCGGTGAATCTCTTTATTTTTATCATCAAAAGATTGATAATTAGGAATAAGTTCAATGCAAGCTTTATTAACGATAATAGATTGTTTATGCGTTGAAAAATTATTTTGGTAATCATAAGCAAAATTTGGCACTAGATGTGTATTTTGTAAATCTGTTAATGGAGGATTATCGGTTAAATGATTAGAAATTTGGGAAGAATAAGAAGCAGTTTCATTAGGTAGTGAGGATTGATGCTGAGGGATTTGACGCTGAATATCCGAATATATTGTTGCATTTTGTCTTTGATTTGTGTTTGGAAATGAAACTGCATTTATTGTTGCATTTTGTCTTTGATTTGTGTTTGGAAATGAAACTGCATTTATTGTTGCATTTTGTCTTTGATTTGTGTTTGGAAATGAAACTGCATTTATTGTTGCATTTTGTCTTTGATTTGTGTTTGGAAATGAAACTGCATTTATTGTTGCATTTTGTCTTTGATTTGTGTTTGGAAATGAAACTGCATTTATTGTTGCATTTTGTCTTTGATTTGTGTTTGGAAATGAAACTGCATTTATTGTTGCATTTTGTCTTTGATTTGTGTTTGGAAATGAAACTGCATTTATTGTTGCATTTTGTCTTTGATTTGTGTTTGGAAATGAAACTGCATTTATTGTTGCATTTTGTCTTTGATTTGTGTTTGGAAATGAAACTGCATTTATTGTTGCATTTTGTCTTTGATTTGTGTTTGGAAATGAAACTGCATTTATTGTTGCATTTTGTCTTTGATTTGTGTTTGGAAATGAAACTGCATTTATTGTTGCATTTTGTCTTTGATTTGTGTTTGGAAATGAAACTGCATTTATTGTTGCATTTTGTCTTTGATTTGTGTTTGGAAATGAAACTGCATTTATTGTTGCATTTTGTCTTTGATTTGTGTTTGGAAATGAAACTGCATTTATTGTTGCATTTTGTCTTTGATTTGTGTTTGGAAATGAAACTGCATTTATTGTTGCATTTTGTCTTTGATTTGTGTTTGGAAATGAAACTGCATTTATTGTTGCATTTTGTCTTTGATTTGTGTTTGGAAATGAAACTGCATTTATTGTTGCATTTTGTCTTTGATTTGTGTTTGGAAATGAAACTGCATTTATTGTTGCATTTTGTCTTTGATTTGTGTTTGGAAATGAAACTGCATTTATTGTTGCATTTTGTCTTTGATTTGTGTTTGGAAATGAAACTGCATTTATTGTTGCATTTTGTCTTTGATTTGTGTTTGGAAATGAAACTGCATTTATTGTTGCATTTTGTCTTTGATTTGTGTTTGGAAATGAAACTGCATTTATTGTTGCATTTTGTCTTTGATTTGTGTTTGGAAATGAAACTGCATTTATTGTTGCATTTTGTCTTTGATTTGTGTTTGGAAATGAAACTGCATTTATTGTTGCATTTTGTCTTTGATTTGTGTTTGGAAATGAAACTGCATTTATTGTTGCATTTTGTCTTTGATTTGTGTTTGGAAATGAAACTGCATTTATTGTTGCATTTTGTCTTTGATTTGTGTTTGGAAATGAAACTGCATTTATTGTTGCATTTTGTCTTTGATTTGTGTTTGGAAATGAAACTGCATTTATTGTTGCATTTTGTCTTTGATTTGTGTTTGGAAATGAAACTGCATTTATTGTTGCATTTTGTCTTTGATTTGTGTTTGGAAATGAAACTGCATTTATTGTTGCATTTTGTCTTTGATTTGTGTTTGGAAATGAAACTGCATTTATTGTTGCATTTTGTCTTTGATTTGTGTTTGGAAATGAAACTGCATTTATTGTTGCATTTTGTCTTTGATTTGTGTTTGGAAATGAAACTGCATTTATTGTTGCATTTTGTCTTTGATTTGTGTTTGGAAATGAAACTGCATTTATTGTTGCATTTTGTCTTTGATTTGTGTTTGGAAATGAAACTGCATTTATTGTTGCATTTTGTCTTTGATTTGTGTTTGGAAATGAAACTGCATTTATTGTTGCATTTTGTCTTTGATTTGTGTTTGGAAATGAAACTGCATTTATTGTTGCATTTTGTCTTTGATTTGTGTTTGGAAATGAAACTGCATTTATTGTTGCATTTTGTCTTTGATTTGTGTTTGGAAATGAAACTGCATTTATTGTTGCATTTTGTCTTTGATTTGTGTTTGGAAATGAAACTGCATTTATTGTTGCATTTTGTCTTTGATTTGTGTTTGGAAATGAAACTGCATTTATTGTTGCATTTTGTCTTTGATTTGTGTTTGGAAATGAAACTGCATTTATTGTTGCATTTTGTCTTTGATTTGTGTTTGGAAATGAAACTGCATTTATTGTTGCATTTTGTCTTTGATTTGTGTTTGGAAATGAAACTGCATTTATTGTTGCATTTTGTCTTTGATTTGTGTTTGGAAATGAAACTGCATTTATTGTTGCATTTTGTCTTTGATTTGTGTTTGGAAATGAAACTGCATTTATTGTTGCATTTTGTCTTTGATTTGTGTTTGGAAATGAAACTGCATTTATTGTTGCATTTTGTCTTTGATTTGTGTTTGGAAATGAAACTGCATTTATTGTTGCATTTTGTCTTTGATTTGTGTTTGGAAATGAAACTGCATTTATTGTTGCATTTTGTCTTTGATTTGTGTTTGGAAATGAAACTGCATTTATTGTTGCATTTTGTCTTTGATTTTGTTTGGAAATGAAACTGCATTTATTGTTGCATTTTGTCTTTGATTTGTGTTTGGAAATGAAACTGCATTTATTGTTGCATTTTGTCTTTGATTTGTGTTTGGAAATGAAACTGCATTTATTGTTGCATTTTGTCTTTGATTTGTGTTTGGAAATGAAACTGCATTTATTGTTGCATTTTGTCTTTGATTTGTGTTTGGAAATGAAACTGCATTTATTGTTGCATTTTGTCTTTGATTTGTGTTTGGAAATGAAACTGCATTTATTGTTGCATTTTGTCTTTGATTTGTGTTTGGAAATGAAACTGCATTTATTGTTGCATTTTGTCTTTGATTTGTGTTTGGAAATGAAACTGCATTTATTGTTGCATTTTGTCTTTGATTTGTGTTTGGAAATGAAACTGCATTTATTGTTGCATTTTGTCTTTGATTTGTGTTTGGAAATGAAACTGCATTTATTGTTGCATTTTGTCTTTGATTTGTGTTTGGAAATGAAACTGCATTTATTGTTGCATTTTGTCTTTGATTTGTGTTTGGAAATGAAACTGCATTTATTGTTGCATTTTGTCTTTGATTTGTGTTTGGAAATGAAACTGCATTTATTGTTGCATTTTGTCTTTGATTTGTGTTTGGAAATGAAACTGCATTTATTGTTGCATTTTGTCTTTGATTTGTGTTTGGAAATGAAACTGCATTTATTGTTGCATTTTGTCTTTGATTTGTGTTTGGAAATGAAACTGCATTTATTGTTGCATTTTGTCTTTGATTTGTGTTTGGAAATGAAACTGCATTTATTGTTCATTTTGTCTTTGATTTGTGTTTGGAAATGAAACTGCATTTATTGTTGCATTTTGTCTTTGATTTGTGTTTGGAAATGAAACTGCATTTATTGTTGCATTTTGTCTTTGATTTGTGTTTGGAAATGAAACTGCATTTATTGTTGCATTTTGTCTTTGATTTGTGTTTGGAAATGAAACTGCATTTATTGTTGCATTTTGTCTTTGATTTGTGTTTGGAAATGAAACTGCATTTATTGTTGCATTTTGTCTTTGATTTGTGTTTGGAAATGAAACTGCATTTATTGTTGCATTTTGTCTTTGATTTGTGTTTGGAAATGAAACTGCATTTATTGTTGCATTTTGTCTTTGATTTGTGTTTGGAAATGAAACTGCATTTATTGTTGCATTTTGTCTTTGATTTGTGTTTGGAAATGAAACTGCATTTATTGTTGCATTTTGTCTTTGATTTGTGTTTGGAAATGAAACTGCATTTATTGTTGCATTTTGTCTTTGATTTGTGTTTGGAAATGAAACTGCATTTATTGTTGCATTTTGTCTTTGATTTGTGTTTGGAAATGAAACTGCATTTATTGTTGCATTTTGTCTTTGATTTGTGTTTGGAAATGAAACTGCATTTATTGTTGCATTTTGTCTTTGATTTGTGTTTGGAAATGAAACTGCATTTATTGTTGCATTTTGTCTTTGATTTGTGTTTGGAAATGAAACTGCATTTATTGTTGCATTTTGTCTTTGATTTGTGTTTGGAAATGAAACTGCATTTATTGTTGCATTTTGTCTTTGATTTGTGTTTGGAAATGAAACTGCATTTATTGTTGCATTTTGTCTTTGATTTGTGTTTGGAAATGAAACTGCATTTATTGTTGCATTTTGTCTTTGATTTGTGTTTGGAAATGAAACTGCATTTATTGTTGCATTTTGTCTTTGATTTGTGTTTGGAAATGAAACTGCATTTATTGTTGCATTTTGTCTTTGATTTGTGTTTGGAAATGAAACTGCATTTATTGTTGCATTTTGTCTTTGATTTGTGTTTGGAAATGAAACTGCATTTATTGTTGCATTTTGTCTTTGATTTGTGTTTGGAAATGAAACTGCATTTATTGTTGCATTTTGTCTTTGATTTGTGTTTGGAAATGAAACTGCATTTATTGTTGCATTTTGTCTTTGATTTGTGTTTGGAAATGAAACTGCATTTATTGTTGCATTTTGTCTTTGATTTGTGTTTGGAAATGAAACTGCATTTATTGTTGCATTTTGTCTTTGATTTGTGTTTGGAAATGAAACTGCATTTATTGTTGCATTTTGTCTTTGATTTGTGTTTGGAAATGAAACTGCATTTATTGTTGCATTTTGTCTTTGATTTGTGTTTGGAAATGAAACTGCATTTATTGTTTGCATTTTGTCTTTGATTTGTGTTTGGAAATGAAACTGCATTTATTGTTGCATTTTGTCTTTGATTTGTGTTTGGAAATGAAACTGCATTTATTGTTGCATTTTGTCTTTGATTTGTGTTTGGAAATGAAACTGCATTTATTGTTGCATTTTGTCTTTGATTTGTGTTTGGAAATGAAACTGCATTTATTGTTGCATTTTGTCTTTGATTTGTGTTTGGAAATGAAACTGCATTTATTGTTGCATTTTGTCTTTGATTTGTGTTTGGAAATGAAACTGCATTTATTGTTTCATTTTGTCTTTGATTTGTGTTTGGAAATGAAACTGCATTTATTGTTGCATTTTGTCTTTGATTTGTGTTTGGAAATGAAACTGCATTTATTGTTGCATTTTGTCTTTGATTTGTGTTTGGAAATGAAACTGCATTTATTGTTGCATTTTGTCTTTGATTTGTGTTTGGAAATGAAACTGCATTTATTGTTGCATTTTGTCTTTGATTTGTGTTTGGAAATGAAACTGCATTTATTGTTGCATTTTGTCTTTGATTTGTGTTTGGAAATGAAACTGCATTTATTGTTGCATTTTGTCTTTGATTTGTGTTTGGAAATGAAACTGCATTTATTGTTGCATTTTGTCTTTGATTTGTGTTTGGAAATGAAACTGCATTTATTGTTGCATTTTGTCTTTGATTTGTGTTTGGAAATGAAACTGCATTTATTGTTGCATTTTGTCTTTGATTTGTGTTTGGAAATGAAACTGCATTTATTGTTGCATTTTGTCTTTGATTTGTGTTTGGAAATGAAACTGCATTTATTGTTGCATTTTGTCTTATATTTGAATTTTGAGCAGTTACTCCACTTATTGTTGCAGTTTGTTCATCTAATAAAATTTGTTCATTCTCCTCCTCTTTGAATTCATTGAATTCTTCGGAACTTAAATATCTGTTTAATAGAGAATCCGAGTTTTCGTTGTCTTCATCTTGAAATGGCCAATTCTTTCTTATATTGTTATCTTTATCATGAGTTTCTATAGAAAAATCATTTTTATCCTTTTGTTTACTTTCTTCATCATAATCGATATCACTATCATTCTCACTATAAGAATCTTCAGCTTCTTCATTTGGTAAAATTGTCTCATATAATTTATTTTTATTTCCATCTGAAATTGTTACTTTATACTCTCCTTCTAACATTTTTTTAATTTCATCAACAGGATTGAATACTTCCTGAAGACAATTGAAATTCATGATTTTAATTGCTTCTTCTATTATGTTATTGCTCATATACAACGCAAACTTGGCTGCCCACAATAAATTTTCGTCATTTTGTGATATTTGATTAATCTTTTTGTCTTGATCTTCAGAAGTTTTTATACTGTTTACAATCGGAATTGAAAATAAGTTAAAAGGCTTCTTTTTTCTTTTAATATTGATAGTAATTTTGTTATTACAGCGCAAATTATCCAGAACACCTAAATTTTTGTTATTTGTTGTTAATTCGAATGTTTAGAGGTAAACTTAGCTTGTGAGATATATATAAATAAAGTGTTAATGCTTTAACCGCTCTTGGTGGAATGACATATAATTTTGTATCCTTATAAATAAATTTAATGTAGTTTTCCATTTTTGTCACTTTTTAAGATCTTACAAAATATAGTTGATTTTTATCACTATTGAAATAAGATAAATAATGTAAGGACTCTAATTTTGTTATAAATATGAATGAAAACAGTAAAATGGATAACTTAAATATATAAAAATAAATATTGGAACAAAGCTATAACAAATTTTCATTCTTATTTATAAATTGATAAACCAAAGTAATACATTTTATTACATTTCGTGTAACATATACTAATATATAGATATTTTTTGAGATAATGTATTTATCTGTAAAAATTGTATGTGATCAAATTTGATTGATAAATTTATTCAGTAATAATAAATTGCATGTACAATATATTATTGTCTTGCCATTTTTTTGCTCATAATAAAAAATCTTTAAAAATGATAACAATAAAAGAGTATTAAGTAAAAATTTATACATCCAAAATATATTTCAGTAACAGCATAATACGCCTATGCTAATTTTTAGTTCTTAAATTAAATAGATGTCCCTAATCCCATAGATATTCACCAAACTTGGCAAATTCTGAACGTGATCTACATATCCCTAGCAAGTAGATCATATTGGTATACGTATCTTGATCAAATAAAAAGAATATTTGTTGAATAATTTCTGTTCAAATTAAAAGTTCTTCAACTTACGGTAAATCTATCTGCCTTAAAAAGTATTACGATATTATGCAAAGTCAATTTTCTCCAAAAAAATATTTGAAGATGATACTTTAAGTATACCAAAAATACAAGAATTTTGAGAGAACTCAATGAATTTTTGTGAAGGTGGAGTTAAATTGAGAAGATTTTTGGTCAGAAAAAACAAAAATTACTATCTGATAAAATGGTATTAAAATGAAAAAAGTTTAAACAAAGGAAATGAAGAATTTATATTATATTAGAATTTAAAGAGTAAATATAAAAGATTGAAAGAAAGAATAATAATAGGATTCTTGAATGCAACATTTGGAATGATGTTTCCAGTTGTAGATGTGTTAAGCAAAGAGAGATAATGATAGTTTCTTGAGTTTTGAGTTAAGCTTGTTGTAGATGAGAGAGAAATTTTGACGAGACTGAGGAACTTCATTTGGAATGATGTTTCCAGTTGTAGATGTGTTAAGCAAAGAGAGATAATGATAGTTTCTTGAGTTTTTGCAATTAACCATCCTCAATGACTATTGTTTTAATATAATTTTTAAATTTTTTAAAACTGACATTTTAGTTGTATATTTTTTCTAACAAAGGTACATTCACTAGGCGATAACAGTAAAATGGGATGAAAATATGATAAATAGCATCCCTATATAGTGCCAAACAATATTTATACGGGCCAAAAAAATTTGGCTAGAGATTTGGCGAGTTATAAAACTTAGAAAATTGAGAGGGATTTTTATTTTTGAATTTTTTTGGAAAGTTAAAATTGCGATTAAAAATCGATTTCCAGGAGAACTAAGCATCTCATCATATATTTAAATCGATAAAAATATTAAATAATAGTTGAATAGTATAACAACGTGAAATTATGGCTGAATCTACAGAAAAAATGAACATATTTGACATTTTTGAAAATTCATACGTTAGATGGTGACAGACTCATAAACTATACTTTAGCTAAGATTGATATATGGTTTCAACAACACATGGTTAAAATTGTAAAAATATTTTAGATTTCAAAAAGTATATATGGTAATATAATGGAACAAAGTCAACAAATAGCATGTTAAATATGTTATAATTAACTTTTTATTAGATCCAATAGTAGATATCGAATGGTTTCCAGCTTTATGGTTAAATATTTTCTTTTCGAGCTTCTCTTTAACTGTTGTATTAAGGTTGTAAATTTTTGATGCTAGAAACTATGGAATCTTCTTTGCTGCTGCATTTTTCTTGAGAGTTCTTGCAATTTCGAATAGATCTGCGCATTGTATGAAATTGAGGCTTTAAAATATCTTGAAAACAGAATAGGACTGCTTTTCCAAAGGAATGCTTACTTGTAAATCAGAGAGTTTCAAAATTGAGAGCAAGATTATCATCATAACTTTCGATTTTGCTGCGAAAAAGGAAGACAAGTAATTAACAAATCATTTACTGTTGTTCATCAAAAGAAGAAAACTTTGATAACAACTAATGATGATAAAATCAAGCTATCTTTTAATATTTTAAATTGATAAGACATTCAAAATATTTGAATGGTTTAAAATATTTTCTTTTAATTTCTATAAGATATTATCATGATTATATAATAAAATTTAAATTTTTATTCAAAAAGGCAATATTTCAAACTTTTAATTTCAAAAATCTTAATTCTGCAATAAGTGTATTTAATTGTAGCAAATTTAATGATCCTTCGTCATGCTTAGCAATTTGGAACTCATAAATTAATGATTTCTTCAAGTAAAATTCTGCATTATTTCAAAAGTCAATAATTCTCTAGTAACTTTTCTTCAAACCCTAACCATTATATTATATGTATAATGGAGAATAATTGCAAAGAAAGATAGCCGAATTTACTGGGTAGTTCTTGTGATGCGAAATAATTGCAAATTAACACATAGTTTTAACAGCATCAATCTCTTTTTGCTCTCATTTAAATGCATTCGCACACTTTAATTTTGAAATATAAGAGTTTTGGAAATTATCAAATTTATCTGCTCAAATACTATAGATCTTCATAAGTGTTAATAGAATCACCAGCCTTACATATAGTGTTTAATATAATGATGCACATCATACTGGGATTTATTCCTTATTCATCTAGTTATTATAAGATTTACAACCCCATGAAAATTTAAAATTTTGTCAAAAATAGTGAATGTACCTTTTTTCTAACACAACTATCAATAAATTGTAATATCATTATACTATATATTAATATGAATTTTTATAGAAAAGCTTTATTTTTTTCTCAATTTTTAATTTCATTTCAGTCTCTAAACTTTCTTACTATGTAAAAACGTATTATTATAGTAATAAAATAAAATACATGTTTATTCGATCTCGTATTTCAAAAAAATAAAATTACTTATATAAAAAGATTCTCTTTAGTCAACTTTCTTTTTGAATCTCTAATAAGTTTTTACTGTTGCTTCTATATATTAAGTATTGATTCTTGTAGTAAAGAAAATCCGGAACGTTTATTTATTAGAATACTCGAACTTTGACTTACATATTACTAATTGTAATTATTTTCAAGAGCTATTTCTATTACTCCTACTTGTTCGGCTTAAAATCTGCTATATTGTTAAGATAAACTAAGTCTAAATTTTGAACCATTTTTTGAAGGAGATTGGGACAAAGTTGCAATTCGGCACTTTTTGTAAAAAAAATGGGGTCATACTCATAATGAATAGAGACTTATAGCCAAGTCTTGATATCATGCAGGGAGAATATACATTGATAAGCAATTATATTTTATAGTAGTAGTATTCAGAAATTCTTACAATTTACAATACAATTTTCAAAAATGGATAAAGACTTATAGCCAAGTCTTGATATCATGCAGGGAGAATATACATAGATAAGCAATTATATTTTATAGTAGTAGTATTCAGAAATTCTTACAATTTACAATACAATTTTCAAAAATGGATAAAGACCAATAGCCAAGTCTTGATATCATGCAGGTAGACTCTCTACAAATACAAAAATTGATTATCATAAGGAAATACAAATTTATCAATTTTCATGTGAAAATTACATAAATTTGTTCTCCAATAAATAGCAATAATACTTTGAATGTTATATTAAGTAATATAGCTTCAGGTAAATAAGCTTACACTTCAAAAATATACTGTTTATTCATTAATTTTAAAAAAAGTCCAAATTATCTAATCTTGCTTACTCTTCCTTTAAACTTCTTTGTGCCAAATTTAATATTGTCTTCAAAGATGGAATAAGGACATTAGGTTCAATCCTTCGGCTTTCGACAATTTCCAAAATGTGTTGAATTAATTTCAAACATTCATCGTGTTTTGAAGCTCTTTGCTCAACAATCTGATTACCTGCCCTTGTAAGAATTCTTACTGCTCTATCTTCATTCAAAACATTAGCGACTTGAACCTTAATAATCGCATTTGGAATCACAACAGTGATGAGAGTTATGACGATATAAAAAAATATTTTATTATACTCATTCGAAATTAAAAATAATAAAATTTATATATATTAATTTCATTAAATCAAGGTTAAAAATCTCACCGGAAAAATAACCTCAGTGTGATAAATTTATCACCGGAAAAATTTACAATAAGGTTAATACCGAAAATATCGAAAAATAAATATTTAAGGTTAATTTAAGAGTATGCACTTTTGTCACCTACTCTTTTTTGAAGTTTAAAGTGTAATACATATCGATTTTTTATCCGAATTTAAGAATTGCTTCAAAGTTTTAGCGTGAAATCGTGCATTTTTTCTAATGAAATTGTTATTATAAGATAAGCGAGTGTGGGACAAACTATCCAGTGTCACTTTTTTATTAACCTTATTTTAAAAAATTAATAAAATAATAATAAAAAATTATTTGAATCTTTTACATTAATTGTTTCTTTTTTAAAAGTACCTTTAAAGTACAATAAACA